TCTCTCTCTCTCTCTCTCTCTCTCGCTCTCTCTCGCTCTCTCTCGCTCTCTCTCTCTCTCTCTCTCTCTCGCTCTCTCGCTCTCTCTCGCTCTCTCGCTCTCTCTCGCTCTCCTCTCGCTCTCTCTCTCTCTCTCTCTCTCTCAAAACTGTTCTGTAACAGTTCCTTTACTATTGTGATAGTTTTCAAATAAACAATACACATAGCAACTCCTGATCAATCCATATCCATTCCAGATTTAAATTAATGTATTGATGCAAACCACACCCATTTCCGGTTAAACCACACCCACTTCCGGGTTAGACCACGCCCACTCCAAGTACAGATACAGATGGTGTGCTCGCTCATCCCTAATTTAACATGCAGGCTAAAGAGGAAAGTCTTCTACCCTTATATCCTGAGACAGAAACAGGAGCGCCAGAGCTCCGCCCCCAGAGATCGACTCACTATAAGCATTCGTTTACACTAGAGACCACTGCAGATGTGTTGAAAAAAGAAAACATTTTGATCTTTACTGGTCATCTACTGGCTCGACTCCCACTCTCCTCACCTCTCCTGAGCATGTGCTCCCCTTGCAGCAGCTGCACGATGGCCGTCTGAGTGGCAGGCACCAGGATGATGCTGCCGTCTTCTCTCCCACACACCAGGCGTCCCTGAGACGGGATGTAAACGCTGGCCGTCACCTGAGGGAGGAAACACACACGGTGTCTCAGGATTAACTCGCCACACAACCGTTAATATTTTAGCTGATGCTTTTTTTATTCAACGCGGGTTTCCGTGGGAGTGGGAACCTTAATGGGCTCCTCTTTTCCAGACAGGACACTGAGCTGGTCGATGATCCCGGACGAGACGGGCTTCAGGCCGTCAAACGCCTCCTGGAGGCTGACGGAGGAGGACACCTGCAGCTCTGCTGGGACAGAAGCACAAACCAGTAAAAGGAAGGACACCGACAGGCCAGTCCTTTTCCAGAATGCTGTTCGTTTTATTAATGAATTAAAATATCAAACCTGACTTTAATGAATTTGCTCTTAATTTCATTTTACTGAACTGGTTTAAAACCAACTAGCCGCTGCGATGTCGCGGGACAAAGTCCAGCCGTTACCTGTGGACGTCCCCGCGGGCTGCCGAGGGGACGAGTCAGGGACGCTCCACAGAGACAGTCGACCAGCTGAGTCGCCCTGGATCAGAAGCTTGTGGAAGGGCTCCCGCCGCCCGAAGAAGAACCGGGTCACCGGAGGACAGATCAGGAGCTGGAGGTAAAAAAAAAAAGAAAGACGTCATAACCTAAAAACCCACAGAACCTAAACTCTGCACGGACCGGTTCTAGATGCAGACTGAGCAGCGTGATCCAAGTCAGATGAAGAAGAACCGAACAGAACCACAAATGAGTGGATTTGCTCTGGAGTTCCGCTCAAACAGCAAAACCGTGCAGCTCCGGTTCAGCTCTACAGAAACCTCTGAGGTGATTTTAAACCTCTAGAGGTGACCCGATTACTCCCTTTGAGCCTTTTAAGGTGAGTATCTGGGTAACAGAAGTTTCACCCCTGACGCAGCGTTATTACTCCATGCAAAAAGAGCATCCAATCGTAATCTTTCATTTGTATATTTCATTAATTTATGACAACCGAGAGGAATGTAGATGTAAAACACTGCAAATGCACTAAAAAGTCTAACATTATCATAAAATCATGTTTACAGCATCATGCAGCTGCTTCAGGTAGCAGACATGAAGATTCATCTGAAAACGAATGAGGATTCAGATCTGGCATTTTACACTTCAGGTCACAGATTTTATTCTGTCTGAACAAATAAAACTTTAACTAAAACCATTATAATAATCTCAGAGCTGCTGCTTCATTATAAATCAACACAAAAAGTCCATGAAAGTGAGAATTCCAATCTGACCCTTCCTGAACAGCCTCTGCTCAAAGAAATAGAGTTCACGTAGCAAATGAGCTAACGATTAGCCTGTGCGAAGAACAGCCCTAATCTCCTAAAAGTCTCATGTGACGCTATTTTACACCGACCCCAACAACGAACTGGCCAAACTACAAAATTAAGCTTTAAGATGGATGAAGACCAACTTGATAGGAGCTACAGCTGGAGTTTGTTGACATCTGAACACATTCATGTGTTCCATGCTTTTGTTCTTTTTAAACACAGAAACAGTTTTGTTTACCTGTTTTGTAGCTACAGTTTCGCCATCGGCGAAACTGTAGCTACAAAACAGGTAAACAAAACTGTTTCTGTGTTTAAAAAGAACGAAAGCATGGAATTAGAACCACGACACAGCAAGAACACACCTAAGATGTTCAGATTCATGTGTTTACAGCAGGTGACTTAATGATACCCAATCAGCCTTAGGGTGTGTTAAAGGGAAAGATGCTGCAGTCGCCATGGTGATGAGGACAACTGTCTGGAGGCTGAGAGGCAGGAGTGAGGGAGCAGAGAGGGTGTGCAAGTATATATAAATAAGTTGTACAGTAATCCCTCGCTACTTCGCGATTTGTTCATCGCAGATTCGCTGCTTCGCGGATTTTTTCTTTGGAGCATTTTTCAGGGGGAATTCGCAGATTCGCGGTATTTTTCAATGATTCGCGGTATTTTTCTATGCGAAATATCAAGAAATTCTTGTTTTTTTCATCAATGTCCTCATAAAATGCACTTTTTGTAATAAAACTAAAAAAGACAAGTAAAAAAAATTTTTTTCTTGAGTTTTACCCACAAAAAGAGAATGTGATCATATGAAAATTAAATATAGTACTGTATGTCAGACAGGTCGGCTGGATTCGGGAGTTCTTGTAGGGAGCGTGGTTTCACAGACGCGGAAGTGATAGCGTCGGTGAAACGCCAGCTGATCTAGGAAACCCCCGAGCGTTCGAGCGTCAACGAAGTGACACGGAAATGCCGGGCTTTGCAGAAGTAAGTAAGATAACTTACTATGAGCTGATAGTTCGTTGGATTGATCGGTAGGTTGGAAACTCTGATCATGAATCTGAAGAAACGATGACTGAGTGGTGAGCTGGAAAGGCGACTTCCGTTTATAGCCGCGGTTTGTGACGTAGGTGCGATGTGGAGGGAATCCCCGCGAGGGGCATGCTGGGAGTCCCTACTTCGCGGATTTTCACCTATCGCGGCCAGGTCTGGAACGCATCTACCGCGATAAACGAGGGATTACTGTATTGTGTTAAATCTCTCTCAGACACACAAAAACCACAACACAGGCATGAAGATTCAAAAGCAGCATCAGGGAGTTTTGGTCAAAACGACACAAGAGATGAAGGAAGAAGCAGTGAGGATGGAAGAAACCCAACTTTTAATCCGGTATCTCTCTGGCCCGGAAATGTTGGCGAGAAATCACACACAAGAGTTTGCAAATGTCCTGAAACATTTATTAACTCATTCACTGCCAATGACATTGCTTTTTTTTTTTACTGTGTGGGCGTCGGACGAGCCCCCGCACCGTGAGAACAAACATCTCAGCTCTGAAGCCGATCTTCATCCGTGTACGTCACACGTCACGTGATCAGGAAGCAGAACATCCATGTGTTAGGAGATCGTTTTGGGCCGCTGCTGTAAAAAAAAGTGAGGCGTGAACTGGAAAAGCTTCTGCCGATCACAATTCAACAACGGATTATGAAAGAACGGATAACGCTCGAAACGCGCGGATTCTTCCTGATGTACGAAGTGAGTCTCCGCTTTGTTTTGGTTGTTTTGGCGGCGACATCATCCTAGCGCGCAACGTTCTGTGACCCTTAAAAAAAACAGTAAAAACGGCGAGAAACGCTGGCAGCGAAGGGCTTTACCGATCAGGAAACGGCTGGTGGCGAATGACTTAAGTTTTCTCATGTTTCTCGCGTGGGTTTCAGGGCCTCGCGGCCACATCGGTGGAATTTTCAGCACGTCAGAAAAGTCTGCTAAACAAGATTTTACTCAAAATAGTCTCAGATTTGCTGCGAGCTTCTGGAACCCTTTAGGTGGAGAAATGCGAGACGACTTTGGGAGGAGATGAAGGAAAATTTCAGACAAAAGTTACTTTGTGAAGAAATGGTGATGACATCATCATGCATACGTCACTCTGTGCCGCCTACAGACGAGCGGTGTGCATTGACTTAAAGAGTAAGTCACCCCCAAATCAACTTTTTTTTCTGATAAACTACATAAATGTGTGTCTAATCGTGCTGCAGACACGTGTAGTCAACAGTTTTGCACTTTAGTGCATTTTAGTTAAAATGTTAATTTTCTGCCTAAAACTGTCAGTCTTGCGCCGTTGTCAGGTAAAAACTCTGCACTGCATTTGAATTTAAATCTGCCATCGCTATTGGCTAAGAGGTACCCTAGAAGTTAGCTGGTACCATATGATGTCACAATGTCGTTGTGAGCCTGTGTGTGTGTGTATTTGTTAGTGGCTCCGCCCTCTCGGTCTGCTAGGCAACAGCATTTGTTGCATTTTTCAAACAGGAAGTGGGAGTGGAGTAATACTCTGGTAGGGGCTGACTTGCTCTTTAAATACAGGTTGCGCGACACAAGAAAATCTGATGTGTTTCAGAGGGCTGTGAATGCAGCGATGTCGTGCAGCAACAAGAAAGTCCCACAATTTTCCTGATCTACGAACTCACCATCACAAAAGTCTGGTTCACTCTAGCAATAACCAACAAGGGACTTCTTTTCCCGGGAATTATTATTTATAAGGTCATCAGTTCCAAGAAAGATGAAAATATTGTATAGTTACATACTGGCATGGTTCTGCTACAGTTCTCCAAGACTAATCTGAATCAGACAAAACATATTTGGTCTGGTCAGAGCAGTTAGAGGACCAGAAATCGGTATCAGCTCCTTGAATCGGTGCATCGCTGCAGATGTTGAGTGACAGCGCAGTGAGATACGGACCGGTGGACGAGATGCCGCTCAAACTGAAACTCGTTCTTGAATGTTAAATAAAATATCGTTAATGGGGACAATCATGAAACTCTTGGTTATTGTAGCTGTGGTCAAATCTGAGAATCATCTACATTTCTTCATCTAATTTTTATCGCTAATGATGCACGTCTGCAGGAAAAACGTGGGCAGCTCAGGGTGAGCCTCCATCAGCATGAAGATGAGGTGTTTTTGGAGGAGGAGGTTTGTTTCAGAGGGAGGAGAGAATGAAACCAGAGTAAATTCAGTCCTTAAGGCAGGAAGCAAAACAACAAACGAGTGAAGCAAACCAAACGAGCCGTCTGCACCAGAGCTCTTCAGCTCACACTTTGAATTTGACACTTTCTGTAGCCGATTTGAACAAATGCATCCCTGATATTCCCTGAGAGCCCAGCCTAGCCCTTCACGTTAGCAGTGTGGATTTGACGTCAGTGTTTCTGTTTGCTCCTCTCGTTTCATCACGTTCTCGCTGAGCTGCAAAACAAATTCAGATCTACTTTTTCTTAGGTGAAGTGAAAAATGGGTCAGAGCACCACCTTTACTCGCCAGGGTGGTTTAAAGCTGCAAGAATCGGACTAAAAAGGGCCAGAAGGGATGGGAGCCGTTACAAACAACCACAAACCGGTTGGGTCTAAAAATAAAAAACGGTCAGAAAAAATGAGCTCGTTTCATTTTTAGAAAATGAAAAGATAAATCTAAAATGTACAACAGCGTGTTGGGGTCAGTCAGGACAACAAACCAGAGGAAAGTTCTGTTTAGTTTGGTGATGAAGACCCTTTAATTTAAAGCTGCTTTAAGCTAAAGCTCGTTTTCTTATTTTTAACTCCAAATTATAATCACCTTTCATTTGTTTGATGATATTTTATCATTTAATGACTTTGTTTTTCTGATTTGAATGTATTTCTGTGTTGCTTTTAATCTGTGTGAAGCACTTCGTGATTCTCTGTCTGTGAAGCGAGCTGCATAAATAATTACTTACCCCCAAATCAACATTTCTTTTCTGATAAAATATATAAATGTGTGTCTAATCGTGCTGCAGACACGTGTAGTCAATAATTTGGCACCTCAGTGCATTTTAGTTCAAATTTAAATGTTCTGCCTAAAACTGTCAGTGTTGTGCCGTTGTCAGGTAAAAACTCTGCACTGCATTTGAATTTAAATCTGCCATCGCTATTGGCTAAGAGGTACCCTAGAACGTTAGCTGGTACCATATGATGTCACAATGTCGTTGTGAGCCTGTGTGTGTGTATTTGTTAGCGGCTCCACCCTCTCGGTCTGCTAGGCAGCAGTATTTGTTGCATTTTTCAAACAGGAAGTGGGAGCGGAGTAATACTCTAGCAGGGGGTGACTTGCTCTTTAAGGTGAAAATGATAGGTTATTAGTAAAAATCTAAATTACATTTAAAATATTAAGATTACAGTTGTAATCAGATTAAAATGTTGATATTTAATGCTGAAATCTGGAGATTAAGGCCAAAATAGCAAATTAATAAATGCAAAAATCAAGATTAGATTCATACTCTTCAGATTAAAATAAAAAATATCAGATTTTTCAGATCCAAGTCTGAAAATGTCAATTCAACATTAAATTTTGAGATTAAGATCAATGAATTGAAGCTGGAATGTCAGATTAGAGAATTAGGGTTGAGATTAAAGTCATATTATATAAATTATTAAAATCAAAGACTATTTTGAGATTATTGATTATTTAAATTAAAGTCAAAATAGCAGATTAATAAAAACAAAAACTCAAGATCAGATTTCAATATTTTGAGATCTGAGTTAAAATTTTCTAATAAAGGTTAAAGTAATAAAATACGAATTTCAAATTAGAAAATTGGGATTAAAATGTTGAGATTAACGATGAAAGTTTAACATGAAGGTAAAATTGGACTTGAAATGTTCAGAATAAAGTTGCAAGATCAGATTGATAAATGTAAATAATCAAGAATAAATGTAAAATGTTGAGATTAATGTTGTCAAATAAAATTTCGGAGAATAAGATGAAATACTGAGATTAAATTTAAACTCCTACTGCTGAAATGTCAGATTAGGGTTCATACAGGATCAAGTTTCCAGTAAAAGGGTTTTGGTTTTTCTCCACATTTCAACTTTAAAAATAAGATTTTCCTCTCGTGTTTGACCCAAAAACGCCATCGTAAAGCTTCAGGATTAGGAAAAGTGACTAATATTTTTGATAAAATTTCTTGTAACTTGTTTGAACTTTGCAGCTCAGTTCAGACGTGATTCTTCTCGTCTTCCTGCCGGCTCCTTTCACAGTTTGTTTTTGGGGGGCTTACTGGCGCCTCTAGAGGCCGGTGTTGGTATAGCTGCTGGGGGGTGTAGAGCTCCAAGTCGTACCCACAGGGAGGGAGGCATATCACCTCCACAACCTGCTTCTCTTCCTCCTCCCCCTCCTCCCCTCCCTGTACTTCCTTCTGACAGACGTGAGGGGGAGGGGGGTGGCAGCGATAAGACAAAACAAAATAAAAACAACAGAAGGAACAGACAACAAATTAATACACACAAGACAATAAAAACAAACTCAAATTAACTGAGAAGACTAAATCATTCCGATTCATTCACATGGATTAAAAGGCGATTCAGGTGTTTTAGTGAGTAAATGTTATGCCTGGGTCCATGCGAACCTCGTCTACGCCGGTGGACGGCTCCACGCCAGTAAACTACGACGGTGACTACCGAGGCTGTTTCCACACCCGTTCCTCGAGTCGGAATCCGATAATAATCCCAAATCTGGATATTTTTCCCAGTAGTTTGGTTTTCTTAATACAAAGGAAAGCCCGAATGAAAACAGTACCACTAAATTCCCGGTGCGGATGTCCAGGCTAATGACAGGTCAGATGGGCTGGGGGCGGGGCTACCAGAAATAAATCCAGGAAGGTTGTGTTCCGATCCTGAGCTAGCTAGTAACGCGCTCTGAGCTGATAAATCTCACCTGTCCAAAGACGGCAGGTAACCATCGCTTCATTTCCAGGCGGCTAGGAGCTAGTCAGTATGCTCGTGTGTTTGGGTGTCCTCTTGCATCCCAGAGTGCAACAGCAACCTGCTTCAGGACGATGCTTAGTTCAAACCTGCAGCGTACGCGTGACTGATCGAGGTCGGATCAAGTCCACCGGCGGGACTCGATTTGATCCTGGTCTGCATTCTAGTGAGACTCCTGTTCATACCTGCTCAGAGGAACCGAACCAGGCAGGAGAACGGACCTGGACTGGATTCACAGGTGTGGGAACATCCCAAAGCTGCAAGGCTTTTATTGTGAAAGAGCCAAAAAGGTTAGGAAAACGTTTGACTGTGGATGTTCTCAAACCTCATAAATGTGTGTGAGTATGCATGACTTTGTGTTCGAGTGTAAAACCGGACCTAACAGTTCACCAGGTTCGATCCATGTGGCTGAAAACGACGTTTCATAACAAAAACCAAAAACAACACAGAGCTGAATGTGAATCCGTTTAACTGTGGCTGATGAGAAGTCGTAATAAAGTCTCTGTGTTAGTGAAGCTGGTCTCTGAAAGCCAATTTTCTTTGTTTTTATTTCAATTCAAGTTTATTTATAAAGCACCAAATCACGGCAAGAGTCGTCTCAAGGACCTTCACACAGTAAATAGTCCAATACAGGTCAGGTCATTAAGCCAATCAGTGAAAAGTTTCCTATGTAAGGAACCCAGCAGGTTGCATCGAGTCACTGACTAGTGTCAAAGTCTTTACAGCGATCCTCATACTAAGCAAGCATGCAGCGACAGTGGATAGGAAAACTCCCTTTTAACAGGAAGAAACCTCCAGAGGATCCTGGCTCAGTATAAGCAGCCAGTCACAGCTTAAAACCACTCATTAGAACGTTGGTTACGTATTGTAACCCCAGATTCTATGAGTCTAGTCACAGCCCTTAAGCTAGCTGCTATTGGAAGGGTGATCTCAGCATCAGCCAATCATGAAGAGCTTAAATGTAAGCCCACCAATGGTGGGCACCCCTGTGGGTATAAAGGTGGAGCGACTCCACTGTTCGCCTCCGATGGCTCTTGGTCCTAACAGAACCAGTGGGGCCAGTGGCTTAAGGGCTGCGACTAGACTCATAGAATCTGGGGTTACGATACGTAACCAATGTTCTATTTCGTCTAGTCTTAGCCCTTAAGCTAGCTGCTATTGGAATAATGCGCAGCTGGATGGGTTTACGCCACACTGGTTAGCTCAACCAATAGACACACCCAACAAGTCTCCTTTTAGCGAGGGTCGCTCCGCCTCAGCCAGGGCTGAAAAGGCTGAGGCAGCCAGAGAGAAGAGTGGGGTTCCCACTAAAATATCATCCAAGAGGATGAAATTCATTCAAGCAGGGCCGATGAGGTGCCATAATACTTTCACTCAGCCTGCTGAGGTCCAAGCACTGAACGAGTGATGGATCCTGAAGACACATCTCGTAACGAGTAAAGGAACAGGGTGAAGCCCACGAAGCAGCCTGACAAATGTCGCCCGTCTCCCCTCTCCGATGATGCAGTCCCATGCACGATCCAACGCGTAAACTCCATCGTCTCTGTTCATGGTCCCACATGACACGGATGTGAGAGGGGAGAGCGGGCAGCAGAGGGCGACAACGTCCTCTGCTGCCCGCGGATAAACGAAGGAAGTGACGCCACCATCGGTGTCAGCCTGATGATTTTGCAGCCGCAAAGTAAATAAACCTTTTCTGTGTTTTAAAAAGAACTGAAGGGGGGGGGGGGGGGGTGTTTAGCAAAATAAAATAAAAAAGACGTATTGCTCATATGATATCAGTACATGATAAGATAATCACTTTTACGGATTTCAGACAAATTATGCATAATTTCTGAAAGAGGAAAACTCCGAAAAGCAGGTTTAAGATTTAAGATAAAATAAACAAAATAATAAAATCAACTATTGGCCCAGGAAGGAACTATTTTTTCATTGGAAAAAGAAAGTGACAGCCGGATTTTAACATGAAATCTGCTGAATACATGTGACGGCAGTACTTTAAAGGGACTTTACGGAGTTTTGAATTTTTATGCTCGCGACTGCCCCCTCAGGCCAAAAGCGTAACGGCAGCTTCAATAGTAGACTCGTGCACGAGGCGCGCATGCTGTACGTGCACACTCCTTAACGAAAATAACAGCTGAGATGAAGCTCTGTGAAGCTGACGGTGTGTGTGTGTGTGTGTGTGTGTGTGTGTGTGTGTGTGTGTGTGTGTGTGTGTGTGTGTGTGTGTGTGTGTGTGTGTGTGTGTGTGTGTGTGTGTGTGTGTGTGTGTGTGTGTGTGTGTGTGTGTGTGTGTGTGGCCCAGAGGACAGGAGAACGTGCAGCTAATTAATTAAATAATGTGGTTCTGTACCTTTCTCTTCAGCACAGCCGACAAAGGTTTATGATGGGTCAGTCCTCCTGCATGCTCAGATCATTCCCTTCCCTTGCTTGAAAAATTGTTCCAAAATGAAAGTTGAACCCACATCTTTTTTATCTGTGAATTCAATGCCGTTCGGCGAGTCTCAAATAAAAAATTTGGGCATCTTACTGTAAAAATAATATACCATTAATGTAAAAAATAAACTCTAAATAAACTATGTTCACATCCAGAATCAAACCCAGGTCTTCTGCATGAGAGTCAGACATCTTACTAAGTGAGCTAAAGCGCCAGTGACGTCCTTTTGTATCTGTAACATTTATATCCTTGATGACAGCTGAAACAACGTCAAACCAAAGAACGATTGGGAGTGAAAATGGCTATTTTGTTGCTAATTTGCAGGAAATATCTAGAAGAAAGTTCTACAGAAAGTAGCTAAGGGTCCTCAGAAATGTAGCTAGCTTCATCACTAGGCGTTAGGAACAGCGACAAAGTGGCACTGCCTCTCTCTCTGCTGCTAAAGCTACGGATAGCAAATGCTACGGGCGATGCCTGAGCGTGAACGCGCATGAAGCAGCCTGCTCGACCCGACCAGCTCTCTTTTTCTGTGATTTTACAGAAAAACAGGCAATCACAGTAAAAATGCCAGGGCTCATTCTACAGGACCAGGGCATTGCAGGAGAATGTATGCAGAAGACATTTATTATTTCTATACATGTTTTGGCTGTCACACTTCCATAATGTCCCTTTAAGATGAACATCGGATCTGAACCCTGAAGGGTTTCCTGGGCTCGGCCGAGCGGATCGCTCACCTGTTTGTCGGATCGTTCGGCGATCCTGTAAATCAGTGGAGGAACAGAACCTTCTTTGGTTTTTCCAACGTCGCTGCGGAAATGCTCGCTGGCAGAGAGACAGCTGCAGAACAAAAACAGGACATTTAGACTCCTCTGGGTTCTGCAAGAGGCGTTCCACCTGTGTGCAGCTTTACCTGGGCGGCAGCATGTAGATGTGGCTGCTGCCATCTTCGGTCCAGATGATGACTTTATCTGCTGAGATGAACTCTCCGCCGGTCCACGACTGGTCGTTGTTGCTGGACACCGAACAGAGCAGCGAGTAATCGCCTGCATCAAAAACCTGACGGGAAACAAAGCGAGACGCTCGTTTCTGATGCTGACGGGTGATCCGACGGCGAGAGGACGGGTTCTTACCCTCCAGTACTTGGAGCAGACGACCAGCAGGCTGCTCTGTGTGAAGCTGCAGAAGGAAATGCTCTGACAGCCCTGACAGTAGATGGGTTTGGACTCCTCTTCAAAGACCGGGTCCAGATCCTGAAGGCAAACGCAAAAGGTCACAACCCGGGTCCACACCGCTCGCTCAGGAACTTCATCAAACGCTCCCGTTTCTGCGTGTAGGGGTTTTAAACGTTTCCTGTATTTTCAGCTTTATTCTACTAAAATACGGTCGGTCAGGGTAAAAACGCAGAAACGGGACCCAGTCAGCTGCTCGGACAAAGTCCAGAACCAGTCAGGAAACGGTCCCAGGGATGGACAACTCCCTTTCCCAGAGGGACGACGCTGTCCAGCACGTTTTAAATGTTTCCCTGCTCCAACACACCTGTGGAGTCACCTGCTGTGCTGAAACTTTAGACACATATATTCACACTAAAGGCTCGTGTGTGTGTGTGTGTGTGTGTGCGTGCGTGCGTGTGTGTGTCAAATGGTAAATGGTAAATGGCCTGTATTTGATATAGCGCCTTCTAGAGTCCTGGAACCCCCCAAGGTGCTTTACAACACAATCAGTCATTCACACACACATTCATACACTGGTGGGGATGAGCTACGATGTAGCCACAGCTACCCTGGGGCGCACCGACAGAGGCGAGGCTGCCGAGCACTGGCGCCACCGGTCCCTCCGACCACCACCAGCAGGCAAAGTGGGTTAAGTGTCTTGCCCAAGGACACAACGACAGCGACAAACTGAGCGGGGCTCGAACCTGCAACCTTCCGATTACGGGGCGAGCACTTAACTCCTGTGCCACCGTCGCCCACTAGGTGATTAGGACTCTGCAGAGCCTGATGAACAAGTGAATCAGGTGTGTTGGAGCAGGAAAAAACCTAAAACATGCTGGACACCAGCCCTGGTTTAAATGGGGTGGGGGGGTTATGGCTGGAACCAGCCACCTAGCGATGGTCACCTGTGTGGTTCTGTCTGCAGCAGCACGGTGTGTGTGTGTGTGGGAGGGGTGAAAACAGCTGGACGGGGGTGTACCTGCATCCTGCTGACCTCCGCTGTAATGATCCAGACCTTCAGGATTCCTGTCACAGACACCGCCACCACCGTGTCCTCTGGAGGAACGCAGGAGAATACAAATGTGTTTACAGGACCGAGCAGAACTCCAGATCCAGTCCTTCTCTCTAGTTTCATTCCCAGCTGCCAAACTTTTCTGTAAACTGGCTTTAAACTGGTTCTGGACCAACTGGTCTCCAGACTTCCTGAAGGTCTCTCAGAGTTTTCCTTCAGCCTTTGGCTGCTCTTTTACATGGTTTTTATCCAGGTTTCAGTTTTGTTCCTGCTTCTATTTAAAAAAAAATCCCTATTCTGTTCATTTGCTGTTAGTCGATATGCACCGACATGAAGATCTGGGTCAATATCGGTGTCCGACATTTATGCTGCTGATAACCAATAATTATGACTGAAAACTGATATTATATGTGCTTAAATCATATTTAACCATTGATTAACGTTAAATATAATTCACTAAGTAAAAATAAAAAGTTTCTATTTCGACGAACCGGGAACATTTTTTAATCACTGCTGGGCTAATCAGTTAACAGATAAAAACAGTAAAAAATGTCTCTCCGTCCATCCACTTTCAGCTGCTTATCCGGATTCGGGTCACAGGGGCAGCAGCCGAAGCCAAGAAGCCCAGACTTCCCTCTCCTCAACTACCTGGGCCAGCTCTTCCAGAGGAATCCCAAGGCGTTTCCTAGCCAGCCCAGAGACTTATGGGCCATTCCCATCTGTACCGGGTCAGCCCGGGCCAGGTAGCCCCAGTCGGCCCCAGCCTGGCCCGGTTGATTCCACACATCCTTGCCTTAAGCCCATGTGGGCTGATTCTACCCACCAATCAGAGGCTTGCTCTAATGGAAGGTGTGAATTTGCTGTCAGCAGTGGGTGTGTTGGCCCTGGTCGGCCTGAAGCAGACCCCCTCGAGAAAAGGGCTGAGAATGAGCCTTGGTTGGCCCGGAAAAATACCAGGCCACCCAGATATGTAAACAACCTACGCTACCCGGCCCGGGCCGACCCGGTACAGATGGGAATGGCCCAATAGTCGCTCCAGTGTGTACGGGGTCTTCCCTTTAGGTCTCCTCCCAGTTGGGCGTGTCCAGTAAACCTCATCAGGGAGGCATCCTGACCAGATGTCTGAGCCACTTCAACTGGCTCCTCTCGATGTGAAGGAACAGCAGGTCTACTCCAAGCCCCTCCCGGATGACTAAGCTTCTCATCCCATCTCTAAAGGAGAAACCAGCCACCCTACGGAGAAATCATATGTTGTTCGCTTGTATCTGCAATCTTGTTCTTTCGGTCACTACCCAAAGCTCGTGACCATAAGTGAGGGTGGGAACGTAGATCGACCGGTAAATCGAGAGCTTTGCCTTCTGACTCAGCTCTCTCTTCACCACGACAGACCGGGGGTACAACACCCGCATCACTGCAGACGCAGCACCAATCCACCTATCAATCTCACTCTACATCTTTCCCTCACTCGTGAACGATACCCAGATATACTTAAACTCCTCCACTTGAGCCAGGACCTCATCCCTGACCTGGAGAAGGCCTTCTACCCTTTTCCGATTCAAGACCGTGGTCTTTGAGGAGCTGATTCTAGGCAAGGCAGCTTTATTTGTAGAGCACCTTACAACAGTTTAAAACTGACCAAAGTGCTCCACAGAAATTAAAAACAGTAAAACAAAACACAACATAAAAACGCATAAAGACTAAAGCTTAAGAACTAACACTAAAAAGACGTTTTTTCAAAAGAGATTTAAAACCAGACAGTGAAGAGTTCGACCTGGTATAGCGCTGGTCCAGTGTTCCACGGCCAGGAGGAAAACCACATTGCTCCTCCTGAATCTGAGGTTCAACAATCCGATGGACCCTCCTCTCCAGAGCGCCTGAATAGACCTTACCAGGGAGGCTCAGGAGTTTGATCCCCCTGTAGTTGGAACACACCCTGCGGTCCCCCTTTTTAAATAAGGGGACCACCAGCCCGGTCTGCCAATCCAGTGAGACTGCCACCAATGTCCACGATATACTGTAGAGCCACATCAACCAACACAGACCCATGACATCCAAAGCCTTAAGTAACTCCGGGCGGATCTCATCCACCTCGAGGCCTTGCTACTACGGAGTTTTTTGACCACCTCAGTGACTTCGGCCTCAGAGATTGGAGAGTCCAACCCCAAGTCCCCAGACTCTGCTTCCTTACTGGAAGACATGCCACTGGGATTGAGGAGGTCTTCATATTATTCCGTCTACCGATCCACAACATCCCGGGTCAAGGTCAGCAGTACATCGTCACCACTGGAAACAGTGTTGGTAATGCACTGCTTTCCCCTCCAGAGATGGCGCATGGTGGACCAGAATCTCCTTGAAGACATTTGGAAGTCTTGCTCCATGGTCTAACCAAACTCCTTCCACGCCCGGGTTTTTGCCTATGCAACCACCCGAGCCACATTGCGCTTGGACTGCCGGTACCCATCAGCTGCCTCTGGAGTCCCACTGGCCAAAAAGACCTAATAGGACACTTTTGGCGCTTCCACGTTGGTATGGTCCCTATGGTCACACACAGGTCAGATTTGCGTTTTGGGTACAGAGGCTACTCTTTTTTTTTCAGACATTCTCCCCAGCAATCAGACTGAGACCAAGGCGCCACTACTGACTGATTGGCAGGTAACAGACCTTGGGTCAGTTGATGGCTCCGCCCCTCTCTTCACCCGAGTATCCAAGACATGAGACCTCAGATCAGACAACAAACGACAACAGTTGATCAATCGAATCGATCATCTAGCCGGAACCTCTCAATCTTACCTACCAACTCCGGTTCTTTCCCCACCAGTACCAAGACCTAGCTTTTGTAGCCAAGGATCAGACTGCCAAGGTCCCCCCCCCCACCTTCGGCTACCACCCAACACACAATGCACCCGACCCCTTTGACTCCTCCCACGAGTGATGAGCTTATGGAAAGGGGGGACCCACGTCTCCTCTTCGGGCTGTACCTAGTCCGGCGCCATATGTAAAACATCTTTATGTCTGAACATGGTGTTCCTTATGGACAATCCATAATGAACACAGAAGTCCAACAACAAAACACTGCTCATATTCAGATCGGGGGGCCATTCCTCCCAAACACACCTCTCCAGGTCTCACTGTCGTTGCCCACGTGAGCGTTAAAGTCCCCCGGAAGAACGAGGGAGTCACCAGAAGAAGCGCTCTCCAGCACCCCCATTCAAGGTCTTGAAAAAGGGTGGGTAGTCTGAGCTGTAGTTTGGTGCATAAGCACAAACCACAGTTAGGCTCCAGAGGGGGTCCAGGTGAGCCGTGTCTGGGCGAGGGAACACTGTTTCCATTTATATTTGTCTTCATAAGGGGTCTTTGGGCTGCTCATTGTCCGATCCCTCACCTAGGACCTGTTTGTCCCAGAGAAGGACTGTTTGACCTGTTTGTTAGCTTCTAGGATCATTGGGACACTCACACCCCTCCACCACGCCCAGGGAGGGTTGTCTGTACAAAAATGTCCAATTTCCAAAAATAAAACCTTCCAACAATCTGGAGAACCACTGATCTAGAACCACTTTAAAGGATCACAGAACCTCTGGCAGCTTGGGTGGAACATATGGAGACGAGGTCTGAATCAGGAGTGTTACAGACTTTTACCTGAATAATGACACCAAGTGCTCATGTTTCAAAGTCCATACCGTCTGGAAAGTTCTTTCCAAAACAGACAAATTTCACAGTGAAAACTAAACTTTCTAATTTAATCAGGATGTAACGATAAAGTACCAACACCATAAAAAGTCACACGTGTGACGATGCTGTTTATAGCTGTTAAAAGTAAGAATCTGGTTCTGAATCCAAAACAATGAAAGGGCCTTTCACCTTGTGTGCGGTGAGATCGGATGATGCTCATGGAGCTGATCCAGTCCGGAGAAATCTTAGACACCAGCGAGTACAGAACCTCCAGGCTGGTGGCGTCGACCACTAGGATTTCTGGGTAATGACCGTTACAGAGCAGGCGTCCCTCCTTCTGAGTGCCATTGGTGAACTGGTAGAACTGGAAGGAGGGGGGGCTGAGTTATGAAATTAAACTGTTTCTCTGTTTCATGAGCTTTTTTAATCCAGTGTTCTGTTTTTGCCACGTTTGACAAAAAGTTGTATAAACCAGAAATTTATTAAACTCGTTCAAAAACCAACAGAAACGGTTCCGTTTCATCTACTTCTGCTGAACTTTCAGTTATTTTATCAAAGTTTTCTGATCAGCAACTTCATTTCCAGAGTAAACACAGCAGAGGTGTGACCAAGTCACTGCTTTGAATAGAATAGAAGAATAGAATAGAATACCTTATTTGTCAATTTCTTCGAATGTGCTTGCCATACAAAGGAATTGAAATTACGTTTCACACAGTCCCATGCGTAGACATTGACAACATAAAGTGCAGATGCACAACAATAACAAAAACAAAAAACATCCCTAACAATAAGATAATATTAAACAGGTAAATATCGCTAAAAATATACAAAAACATATAGCAGCAGGTGTGTGCAATTTCAATGCAGAGGTAGTTGTTTACCATCAGAAATGTTTACCCCGTTCTTGGTTCAACCACTATTTCCTTTTTGTATAATGTGCATGTATGTGTGTGTGTGTGTGTGTGTGTGTGTGGGGGGGGGGGGGGGGTCCAGTCTGTCATCCTATACTGGTGATTCTGCTGGCTGGGATCTGTGAGGGAAGAGAGTTCAGCAGTCTCACGGCCTGGTGGACGAAGCTGTTGGTGAGCCTGGTAGTGCGGGAGCGGAGACTTCTGTATCTCTTTCCAGAGGGCAGGAGGCTGAACAGACAGTGCGCAGGGTGGGTGGTGTCGTTGACAATTGTGATGGCTTTGCGGGTGAGGCGAGTGGTGTAAATGTCTTGCAGGGAGGGGAGTGGTGCACCAACTATCCTCTCAGCTGTTCTCACAATACGCTGTAGAGCTTTCCTGTTATAGTCAGTGCAGCTACCGCCCCACACAGTGATACAGCTGGAGAGGATGCTTTCAATAGTTCCTCTGTAGAATGTGATCAGGGTGGGTGGTGGAGCACTTGCCCGCTTGAGTTTGCGCAGGAAGTAGAGGTGCTGTTGTGCTTTCTTGACCAGTGATGCTGTGTTGGTGGCCCAGGAGAGGTCCTCCCTGATGTGCACCCCCAGGAACTTCGTGCTGCTCACTCTCTCCACCGCGGCGCCGTCGATGGTCAATGGGGGGTAGTTGTTGTGGCCTCTCTGGAAGTTGACAATGATCTCCTTGGTCTTACTAACATTTAGCTGGAGGTTGTTGTCTCTGCACCAAGTGGTCAGGAGCTCAACCTCTTTCCTGTAGTGGGTCTCATCGTCCTTGGTGATGAGCCCCACCAGCGTTGTGTCGTCCGCAAACTTCACAAGGTGGTTGGAGCTGTAGGTTGGTGCGCAGTCATGTGTCAGCAGGGTAAAGAGCAGAGGACTAAGCACACAGCCTTGTGGAGCCCCCGTTCTCAGGGTGACGCTGTTTGAGACCTTGTTGCCCACACGCACCACTTGTGGCCTCTGGCTGAGGAAATCCAGCAGCCAGTTGCAAAGGGAGGTGCTGAGGCCCAGTCTGTCCAGTTTACAGATGAGTTGTTGTGGTATTACGGTGTTGAATGCTGAGCTAAAGTCTATGAACAGCATTCTCACATATGAGTCTTTCTTGTCCAGATGAGTTAGGGCTGGGTGGAGGGCAGAGCAGATTGCATCCTCTGTGGATCGTTTCGCTCTGTATGCAAACTGGTATGGGTCCAGAGTGGAGGGGAGGGTGGATTTGATGTGTGACATGACTTATCGTTCAAAGCACTTCATAATAATGGGTGTCAGTGCCACGGGGCGGTAGTCATTGAAAAAAGCTGGGGATGGTTTCTTTGGTACAGGTATGATGGTGGCAGTCTTGAAACATGATGGGACAGTGGCTTGCCTCAGTGAGGTGTTAAAGATGTCTGTGCAGACATTCTTCAGCTCCTCTGAGCAGTCTTTCAGCACACTACCAGGGATGTTGTCCGGACCTGCACTTTCCGGGCGTTGATGGTGATGAGTGTCCTCTTCACGCTGGCAACAGACAGGCACAGAGGCTGGTCGTGTGGAGGTGGTGGTGTTTTCTTTGGGCGTGTGTTGTTCTGTGTCTCAAATCGTGCAAAGAAGCTGTTCAGGTTGTTGAGCAGAGTGGTGTCGCTTTCACAGCTACGCGCTGCAGGCTTGTAGTCTGTAATAGCCTGGATGCCTTGCCATAGGCTCCGTGTCCTTGCTGTCATTGAAGTGGGAGGTTATCTTGTGTGTGTAGTCCTGTTTCGCTTTCCTGATGCCACGGGACAGGTTTGCTCTCGCTGTTCTCAGGCCTATTTCATCCCCAGCTCTGAAGGCCTTGTCTCTGGCCTTTAGCAGCCTGAGGACATCTCCTGTTTGCAAGTCACAAGTCTCGAGTCAAGTCCAAGTCAAAGACAACCAAGTCCAAGTCCAGTTCAAAGTCAATGATGTGAAAGTCCAAGCCAAGTTCAGGTCCTTAAATTTGAAATTTTCAAGTCACGTTCAAGTCATGTGTCCAACTTTAATTTAATGACGATAATAAATAAATTCCAGAATTAAAGCTTCTAAAAGTTTCTTTTATTTGATCAAACAGCAGAAACTGAAGCTGATGATAAACAAAGAGCTGCTGCATTCAGCAGAACGAGAGCAAACCCAGAACGAAGAATCATTCATGATTTTTGTCCACGTCGTGCCACTTTTGTGCTAAAATATTAAATATGCACAAGTCATCATCAAGTCAACAGATGCAAGTCGCAAGTCATTGGCGTTCAACTCGTAAGTCTTTATAACATTTATCAAGTCAGAAGTCATTAAAATAATGACTCGAGTCCACGTCATGTGACTCGAGTCCACACCTCTGAAAAACAGTTCCTCCAGCGACACCCAGACCAGCAGAACTATAAACTAGCTCCAGTAGAACTGGTCTGACAGCAGGAAGCAGGTTAAACAACCTCAGAAAGCAGCACTTCCGGTCCAGAGGTTAAGAAAACCAAAGAACCCCCCCCCCAAAAAAAGTCTACAGCCTCGATAATCGCGTTTGGACCAGAGGATCACTCAGAAACACGGTCTGACATGGTGGTGAACTCTGCTGCTTATGGAACTGGACTACATGCTGTGGCTGATGGACAGTGATGGGAATAACGACGTTTAAGTATAACAGCGTTACTACCGGAGTTCTTTTTTAGGTGACAAAATAATCTATTAGTTACTTTTCCCACTGTTGCAACGCCGTTCCTGGGGACGGAAGGTTGTGCGTTACTATGTGCTTGTCGAACATTGAGCAACAGCGTGAGGCTTTCTGACCGCCACACTTCAGCTGCAGCCAGGGAGAGAGAGGTGTCGGTAACGCACTTACAAACACGATGATGACTGGCCGAGTGGGCGGAGACCCTCACGGTCTCAGTCGCTGCCTGCTGTAGACACAACAGAGCAGTGATGGGAATAACGCCGTTTAAAATAACCGCGTTAATAAAAAAGTATGTTTTTCTGTAACGAGCAAACTAATTAATTACCGTCTTCTTTTATCAGAACGTCGTTTCTGTTACTGATAAGGAAATGCGTGCGGTAAGCAGCGCGGTGTGTTGAAGCTGTCATCAGCTGATCAGGAGCTAAAGAGGCAGATGTTTTCATCCAAGCGCATCACGGCCGTGAAGAACGAGGAAGACATGATGAATAGTCTACGGCTGCAGGTGTGGATCTGCAGCCGTGCCCTTCTTGGCGTGACAGCGGGACGTCCTGAAGGTCCGCTCACCTGTTCACCGCTCAGACGTCCTGATCTTCTACCTTCCTAGATCATCCAGCTGTAACCTGTTTCTGATCATGTCTTTAGTCCCGCTGTAACACTGATGCATCAGTCTCAGACGTCATGGAGCTCAGGTGTTATTAGAACTACCTGTGTGTGTTTACCACCCAGCTTCAGCTCTTCTGTGGTTGGGTCTGACCCACGTTAGTAAATGTGAGTCCTCCATCAGGCTTGTGCCTCTTCTAGTGTCATTTTAAAGGATTTTATTTATTTATTTAACCGTTACTAGATTACCAGCAACAGAAATGCTGCTAAAACACACAATTATGTGAAGCTGGAAAAATTAGAATATTGTGCAAAATTACATTTATTTCTGTAATTTAACTAGACTGAGAGACCAAGTAAAGGCCCGGGAACCTTTACAGGTGTTTCTATTTGCAATTTTAAATTTTAGCTGATTGGGGTCTTGTTAAACATCACACAGTGACCTTTTAATAGTCTAGATAAGTGTAATGCTCCTGTTAGTAGTTCCTCCTGTTAAGTGCTTATTTATTTAAATTATTCAGGTTATTTTATTATGTTCCAGTCATTAGTCATTTATAGTTAATTAAATTCAATTAACCCATTTTTCTTGCATTCTTTAATGAAAAAAGTAACTAAGTAGTTATTTTTCTTAGTAATTAGTTACTTTTATAATCTTGTAACTCAGTAACTGAGTTACTTTTTTGACAAAGTAATTAGTAACTATAACTAATTACTTTTTAAAAGTAACTTTCCCAACACTGCTGCTGGAACCATGGATTCTGCTCTCCAGCAGAACATCCTGAGGGAGAACGTCTGATGTTTGATCTTTAACAGGTCCTTCCTGCTGAAAAACCCTCCAAGATGGCTCAATTCAGACGATTCTGAGGGACAAACTCCTCCACGGTGATGACAGACTTGTGACCTTTCCCCACAGGGTCAGGTTTGTATGCGACACCTGGTCTTACCTGGATCCCAGTGTGGGCACAGGCTAGTTTGGTAAACTCAATACAGCGTCCATCATTCACGTCCCACAGACACATCTCCCTGGAAACACAACCATTAGACACAAATGCATCCAAACCTTTTTTACAGATAACCTCAGACGCTAAAAGCATCCTCCGTTCGGGACTGGTGACAATTCATGGTGAAAAAGTAAAATTAATGTGAAGGGTTTAAAAATAATAAATCATTTCCTTTTTTATCCCAAAAAAATAAATCTTAATCTGCTATAATCTGTTTAATTTACAGGTCCGAGCATCCACAAGAACCCTGTAAGAGCTTTCTCATTCCAAGTTTCCAACACTCCCAGGAAAAGGCTGCAGGTTATAAAACAACTGCATTAATGGCCGCTTGTCAGGGAACGGGACGAAGGTAAAACACTAAATATCTGACCTGATACGGTCATGAGCTGCCCTAAATGTTCCTGTTCTGGGATTGTAACGGTAAAAATGGGATGAAAACTTACCCGCTCTCAGACGCGCTGACGATGTACTGTTTGTCGCTGCAGGAGGAGGCTTTAGACAGACATGTGATAGAGGCCGTGTGACCGAACAGCATGGCCCTGGGACAAATCTGGGGACAGAAGAGAGCAAACATGAGGCCAACAACCACAGGCAGGTGGTAACCACCGTCTCTCATACCTTTAACTCAGGTGCCATGTCCCAGAGGCAGATCTGTCCATCGTGGCAGCCCGTGATGATGGTGCTGAAGTCGTCCATCACCAGTAAGCTGCTGATGCAGTGGGTGGGAGCTGTGCGGCCCCACAGCACTATGGGTAGTACCAAATTGTTCCCCGACATTATGGCAACTTGTCTGGGTGGAGAGAAATACCGGTAGGTGTAAATAAAAGCGATGTCACTAAGAGGTGGGTCATTTCTTAGTGTTCACAGTAATACAGGTTAACGTTTCCATGCCTAGGAAGAAGATATAACATGAAGAACTAAACAGATGATGTGGGTCGTGCAGCGTGGGGTTATGAAGGCAAACTTTTCCACATAAACAGGAAAAACAAAACTAGTCAGTCTTGTCAAAGAGCTCGCAGAAACCACAAGACTGTTAAGTTTATGGCAGAACATCAACCTGAGGTTTTTAGGAGTCTGGAGAACAACGTTATTTAGGGCTGCGCAATATATCGCAAATATATCGTTATCGCGATATCAGCATGCACGATATGCATATCGCAAAGAATAGATAGATATCGCAATGAATGGTCAGCTCTAATGTTTGCTACACATAATACATTCTGTCAATCAAACGGAAGCATGATGTTTTTTAACTAATCAAATACAGCTCTTCACCCATTTGGCCAATTGGGTGTGTTCTCATAGGTTAGATGCCCACCCCCGAGGCGAACGGCACTTCATTTTGATGGTTAGCAAATAGGGCTGAACGATTAATTGCAATTACATTGCTATGTGACGAAAAGGAGATTTTCTAATCGCAAAGGCTGCGATTTGACTGGCAGCGAGTGGTTAGCACAGTGCTAATATATAAGGAAAAACCCATAGGGATGCTAATGCTAATATCGCCAATTACATTTTTACACATTACAAATTAGGAACGTGCCAAATGATAACATTTGGAGTACAATAAAATATAAAAACTGCCATGAATCAAATAAGTACAGACAGATATTTTAGTAAAGCTAGAAAACCGTAAGACACTTTAATTCCACAGAGTTTTGGCTAGCAGCTACGGACGTAACTGAACTGCAGAAGCTCCGCATGGACAAGACGTCAAAAACTCTAAACACAAAAGACTTCAATAAACGGGACACACTTCTTTCCTGCCAATACATTTTCACAGATGCTACTACCTACGCTCCTTCAAGGAATGTGCTCTTGGCTGCAACGCATTGCACCTTCAATTATAAAAATGTTTCTTCCTTACTTGTGAGTGTTTTTGTAGACAAATAAACTTGTTGATATGATATGTAGATAAATATGTAGATTAGGGATGTAAGAAAATATCGATATGGCAATATATCGTGATTTTTTTCCAGCAATATTATATCGATATTCAAAAACCGTGTATCTAATTCTTGAAAGAATTTACGTGCAAACTTTTGTGTATTTTCTTTTCATTTTGTGCAATTCAATCGCCAACCGCTAGTTGGCAGCAGTGTGCAAAAGCTTTTGTTTCCACCATTGAACTGTAAATCCCTCCATCATGGTTCAGATACCTCACGTTAAACATGTTACGTATCAGTTTGGACTGTTTATTGAACATTCTTACAATAAATTCAGTAAAAAAAATGCTAGTAACATCTGACTGAATGTATCGTAATATATCGTATCGTCTCCCCTGTATCGTGATATGTATCGTATCGCCAGAATTTCAAAAATACACATCCCTGATGTAACCTTTCTCAGTGGCCTAGTGGTAGAGTGTCCGCCCTGAGACTGGGAGATCAGGGGTTCGACTCCAGGTCGGGTCATACCAAAGACTTTGAAACAATGGGACCCAATGCCTCCCTGCTTGACACTCAGCATTAAGGGGTTGGATTGGGGGTTAAACCACCAAATAGTTCCCGAGCGGCTGTGTCTGCAGCTCACCGCTCCCCCAGGGGATGGGTCAAATGCGGAGAATAAATTTCGCACACACACCTGTGTGTGTGACAACTAATGGGACTTTAACTTTAACTTTAGATACAAAAACTTGTTTATATTCAGCACAAGTTACATAGGGGTTTTTTTTTGCTTCCGTTAGTTGAAAAAAATGAGAAAAGCCCTTTGAGAAAATAATCGCGAATACATCGCAATTGCAATATTGAAGAAAAAAATCGCAATTAGATTATTTTCCTAAATCGTTCAGCCCTATTAGCAAACACTGCAGATAGCTTTTTCTGCTCTTTCTGCTAATTCTACTTTTCCCGGGATCCACTGCTTTTCTTGTTCATTTTCTTTTTCCCTTTCCTCACATCTTTTGCTTTTCTCATTTTTATGATGTTGTCATTTTTTTTAATTTCTTTGTTTTTGATCATTTTTGTTCCTGAGTTAAGTTTTTATTTATCGCAAGTAATATCATCATCGCAATATTAAACACTATCACAGGTTTTCCTAATATCGTGCAGCCCTAACGTCATTGTAAGTCTGATGATCGGCTGGAGATGTCAGAACAGATGTGATGATCGCAGAAACACGGACGCAGCAAGCTAGCATGAGCGACACCTGCCAACTCTGGAAATTCAGCTGAATTATTACCAGCACGACTCGCTCCTCCTAGATAATTAGCTAAATGCAAGATGTTAGAGGAAGGTCCCACCTTTCTCACCTCTGATTGGCTAGAAGGGCTCTCCTACGATTGGCTATGTTTCAGCAGCAAACCGTCCTCCCCGCTAAGGGCGGGCTGTCACCAACAGAACAGGTTTTTGGGGAGTTTTGTGAATAAAATGTGAGCTTAGCGCTATAATGAATAAATGAGTTTCAGGGGTCAGTTTTGAGAGTTTTGTGCTTAAAGTCCCTTTATAACATAAACACATTATTTATTAATATGGTTTCATCATGTGAGCATTATGTTGTATTTAGGATGGGTGTGTCGTACTAAGAGATGTGAAACCTCTTATGTGTTATCTGACAGTGTAGCATGTGCATGTGTTTACAAGACATCTACCAGCACAGTGGTCACTATCCCGCATTTTCTAGTTGTTTCTGTTTCAATACACCTGATTCGAGTTTTTAATTACTCTTATCAGATAACATTTAGCAGCCAAATGAAATAGCCGATCGTAGGAGAGCACTTATAGCCAATCAAAGTCAGACCCTTGAGGAGATTTCTCAGGAGACCATCCGCCACCACATCAGGAGCATGCCCAGGTGTTGTAGGGAGGTCATACAGGCACTTGTTTTAAGGATGCTACATCAAAGCTGGATCAGCCTGTAGTGTGTTTTCACTTTAGTTTTAAGTGTGACTCCAAATCCAGACTTCCATGGGTCGATACATTTGATTTCCAATTGATAACTGTGTAGTTTTGTTGTCAGCACATTCAACTGTGTATAGATCAAAGCATTTAATTAGACTATTTCATTCATTCAGCTCTAGGATGTCTTATTATTGTGTTCTCTTTAACTTTTAACAGTATATTTAATAGTTAAAGAGCAAGTCACCCCCTACCAGAGTATTACTCCACTCCCACTTCCAGTTTGAAAAATACAACAAATGATGTTGCCTAGCAAACCGAGAGGGCGGAGTCGCTAACAAATACACACACACACACACAGGCTCACAACGACATTGTGACATCATATGGTACCAACTAACATTCTAGGGTACCTCTTAGCCAATAGCGATGGCAGATTTAAATTCAACGCAGTGCAGAGTTTTTACCTGACAACGGCACAACACTGACAGTTTTAAGCAGAAAATTACATTTTAACTAAAATGCACTAAAGTGCAAAACTATTGACTACACGTGTCTGCAGCACGATTAGACACACATTTATATAGTTTATCAAGAAAAAAAAGAAAAGTTGATTTGGGGCTGACTTGCTCTTTAAGTTGTACTCCACCAGGTGATTATCTTTCAGGTTATTCAGTTAAACACCACTCAGCTGATCAGCTGCATGTTTGTATAAATGAATGTAAAATACGGAACGTTTTCCACGTACAGTTCTGTTTTTATCACTTTGTAAAAATAATCGTATTAATGTCCGTTTGTTTGTTTTCAAATGGGCACTGCGCTCAGTGACTCATGTCTGCTGTCAACAAATCAGCTGAGCAGCTTCTAGAAACAACCTCACATGAGCTGAAGCTACAAAAACCAATAAACACCAAACTGAGATTTTCATGTCCAAATGGGTCAAATACATCCTCGGTGGGTCTCAGTTCAGTCACGAAGACAGATAGAAAACACACACACACACACACACACACACACACACACACACACACACACACCGTAAGCAGCATCTGCGTTAAAGAGCCTTATTTAAAACCATTACGTCCACATTTAAAACCTGCATTAGACGATTGGTAAGTGGAGAGGAACACTGCGGATAATTTAGCCAACAGCTAACTGTCACCGTTAATCAGGGGACAGCAGGCTAGCAAGCTACAGTACAGCGACTTCCGGTTAGCAAAGTGGCTAATGACATCAAAACACCCCGGTAAATAACCTTCAAACGTACCAGAAATAGAGGTCCTACTGGAACATCTCCGTCTGACGAAAAGCTGTGGGACAAACGTTTCCTCCTGTGGCAAAACAAGCAAAAGTGACCTTCCGCTGAGCTCCTTGTGCTCGTTTATTCCACCTACGAACCGATCTACTCGGTCAGCTGATCAGGCAACGACCGACTACCACATCCGGTCGGACAAAATTAAATAATAAAATGAAGCATAAATAATAAAATAAATAAAAATAACTATAACATATTAAACAATAAAATAAATGCCCGTTTGTTTTCAAGTATGACCATGTTAATTATGTATAAACAGGCAGATTCAAAATTTAGTTAGGATTATGTTTTCCAGAACCATAAATATCTCAGATTTTTTTATGATTTCATTTGGAAAACTAAACATCATTCAGACCACGTGACCATGTAAAATAAAATTAATAAAAGATATGAGATCGACTTTCCATAACGGCGTCTACTCTAGCAATGTCTACGCGGTTGCCATAGTGACACAGAAACTGTTAGCTAAGGCTAATCTTTGTGCTCTTGTGTTGAAAACTGAAGGGAAAATAAACATTTGGACATTTTTTCGAAGAAAACGCTGTTTTGGGATAGAGGTGAGAGTTTTACATGAAGGTAGTTGTTATAAACAATGTTTAAACTGTGGCAGTGTTCATAATTTTGTGAGTTTAGTAAATCAGGGAGCAATTCAGACAAATTCTTACTGCCTTAGAAGACTGCTGCATTTATTCTACATGAGTGATTTGTTCCGCACTGTCCACAGGATGTCTTCAGCCCCCATTCAGATTCCTGCAGCAGCAGCTGAAGTGGAGACGTACGTAGACCACGCAGCTGAACTGGAGGAGATCAAAGGGTTTATCACTTATTAGTACTATTGTTTTATTTCTAAGGAATAATAATAAGTTGTATGAGTCTGATCATTGGGTGTGTCTTTTAATCCAGACTGTCTTCATTTGAGGTGGGACAGAGACCGGTGCCATTAGGGGCGACGATGCCCAGGACCAGCGTCGATACAAAGAATTCATGGACTAAAAATGAGCTGATTGATCAGATTGAGGTACATCCATCTTTATTCTGCACGCATGCCACATGTTCCCCTTCACTCAGGATGTCCTTTCCCCTCAGCAACTGAACAAAAAGCTGGAGCAGGAGAAGATAAATCACAAAGAATCCATGAAGTTCCTGCAAAACCAGCGTGAGGTTAGTCGAGCAACACCTGGTGCTGCGGAAAGTGTGAAAGCATCCTTGCATCATTTTCTAGTTTCACAAGATTTCACCATCAGACAACGAAAACTTCTAAAATTCTACTGTTGTGTCTTTGGGCAAGACACTTCACTCGATTTGGCTATGTTGGTGGTGGTCAGACAGGCCGATGGCGCAAAATGGCCTCTGTCAGACCGCTCCAGAGTGGCTGTGGCTACATAGTAGCTCACCAGCAGTGTGTGAAAAAGGGAAAGCACTTTGGGTGCCCAGAAATATATTAATCCTTTATTATTATTTTTACTTTAAAAAAAAAGTCTTTTCAGCCCCTTACTGATTCGTTCTGCTTTTCCTTTTGTTGTCATTTAAATGCTTTTGGGTCAGAAAACACATTTAAGTAGAAAAGGATAACCTGAATAAATAAAATGCACTTTTCTAATTATTTCATTTATTATCCTAAACAACCTGTTTCAAAGTGAAAAATGTTATTGCTCCTTGAACAAAACCTACTGATTAGCAGAGGTGTTGACTCGAGTCACATGACTTGGACTCGAGTCGGATGCAAATCATTAATTTAACGACACCTGACTTGACTTGATAAAATCTATAAAGATTTACAACTTGACTCGGACTTGAACGCCAATGACTTGTGACTTGGATTGACTTGATGACTTGAGCATATTTGATATTTTAGCAGAAAAGTGGAAGGACATGGACATAAATCTTAAATTATTCTTCATTCTGGGTTTGATCTTGTTCTGCTGAATGCAGCAGCTCTTTGTTTATCATCAGCTTCAGTTTCTGGAATTTATTTATTATCGTTGTCATTAACCCTCTGGAAGCAGGCGTTGCAGATTTGCAACGTTAAAACCCATCTGCCTGGTTACTCCACACACGTATTTCATGAGCATTTTTTAACTCAGAAGTTCCCCTGAAGGTGTCACGTTGCGACTTAGGAGGAGGTTAGGACCCAAGATGCAGGAAACACCAGATGACGCGAGGCAGGAGTGGTTCAAAGGTAAAATCCTTTTTATTAGGATGAGAAACAAAAATCCAAAGGGCAGGAAGCCAAAAACCAAAGTCCTGAATACCAGGAGAACGAAAGCTCACATAGAGCACAAAACCAAGAGACGAGGCACAAAGCAACGCTGACACCAAACAATGGACATTAAGACATTGAGACACAGACAGGGCTTTATACACTGGGGAGGATGAGAGGGAGATGACCTGCAGGTGTGTGGGGAGAGAGACCAGGTGAACTGAGTTACTTATTGTGGAGGAAACAAATAAGACAAGAAGAGCAGGAACATAACTAATAATCTAAGGAGGGGGAAAAAACCTCAAACACCGATGGGAAAAATAAACACACTAGAGAGACTAATAACATGAACAGCTGTAACTAAAGAAAAATGACCTAAGAATAAAACCTAAAGACCTGAAGGGCAGCAAACATAACTAATATTCTAAGAGGGAAGCTGAAACTAGAGGAAAACACTACAGAAAGAAAAACTACAGGGGCGTGACTAAAGGCGGGCTAAGGGAGCACAGGACATGGGAGGGGGATGCCTGAGGAGGGGAAGAAACCTAGAGGGGCTGTAGATCTGGGAACACAGAAAGAGAAAGTCCAGGGGCGTGACTAAGGAGGACCACAGGGAGCACAGGACCTGGAGGGAGATACCTGGGGGGGGGGGGGGGGGGGGACCTAGAGGGACTGCAGCTCTGGGAACACGAGGAAGACGTTGACAACGACACAAGAGGGCGCTAGGATACACAACAGGAGAACCTAGAGACGGATGGAGAACACAAGGAGACACATGAGGGGAGACGTAGACGCAGACCATGACAGAAGGACTTAGTTGTTCGTCTTTTTATCAAAACTTATTTTGAGCCTGAGAGGGGTAAATTGGAAGTTGGACAGATGACTTCATTATAACTTGAAAATTCAAAGGTAAGGACTTGGACTTGACTTGGACTTCCACACCATTGACTTTGGACTCAACTTGGGCTTGGCTGTCTTTGACTTGGACTTGACTGGAGGACTTGTGACTTACTTGTGACTTGCAAAGCAGTGACTTGGTCCCACTTCTGCTGAATAGGATAATATTAATAACTATATTTTATTATAACTGATAGTTGTGACAGTAATATTAGTTATAAATGACATTAAATCCCCTAACCTGTTGAATAGATGCATAAACGTGTTTCCAGTGTGAGGCAAATAAAAACACGAAGCTAAAACTGAACTCAGCTGGAGGACCATTCCGACATTTACTTAGTTTCTGAGAAAATGGACCATTGTTGTCATGGATACAGAAATATGCTAAGTTTATGAGATGTCAGACTGTTCCTACACAGCAAATTCAGCATGCTCAAAATAACTCTGTCAGAGTTGATTTCAACACTTTTTGAAGAGTTGGTACTTTAACTCTGATTTAGTGTTAAAAACCAACTCCTCTAGAGTTAAATATATAACACTAAATCAGAGTTAAAGTACCAACTCTCCAAAAAGTGTTAAATCAACACTCACTGGGGTGGACCCATGTAGACACTTTAAAAGTTTTTAAATCAACTCTGATAGAGTTATTCTGAGCATGTTGAATTTGTTGTGTACACCAGTGGTTCCTAACGTGGGGGTCCCGACCCCCACAAGGGGGCGCCAAAGCCTCTCAGTGGGTCGCCAAGACCTCTCCACTTTAAGGGGTTAAAACTTCATTTATTACTTGTTTATAACCTACATTTTGCTCACATTTTTTTCATGAGTGAAGAGTTTACTGATATTAAGACAGGAAATAATTAGTACAGAAAAATTAACACACTTTTAAGAACATTTTGCTCAGCTCACTGTTTTATTTTCAAGTGTCAAAAGTTCATTAAAGATAGGACTGAATGATTAATCACAGCATTTACAGTAAATAATCTAGTATAAACAGTAATATACACATTTAAGTACGTTTTGCTCAGTGTATTGTTTATGTGTCAAACGTTTATTGAAAGGAATGATTGATTTATCAGTGTTTACAAGAAACAATGTGTTCAGAAAAGCAATACAAACTGTCAAGCACATTATGCTCTGTTTGGTTTTGTTAATGACTTTGTTCTGTACTGGAGCCTACTATTACTGTTATCTTTTGAATCAAAGCATATTAAAATGTTTATTTATCATTTCTTAATAATGTTTGTACTGGAAGAGAGAATGGGAGGGGGTCGTCAGAAATTTTACTGGTAAAAAGGGGTCCCTTGGGAAAAAGGTTGGGAACCACTGGTGTACACTACCACCAATGTTAGTTTTCAGAGTCAGTTTACACTCAAGCTATTAATCTCCATCATGATATCATAAATTTTGATACTTTTCAGTGTACCATGCCAGGAAGCTACTAGCTACACTGGCTAACTCGTGCACTGAACCCCTCATGACTGCTATCAGTCAGTGGGAGAGGATCACAAGTAGGGTCCTGAGCATGTACTATTAGCCATGCGCCACATTATTATTGTGCTAGTGGAACACACAGAGGTCCCATTCTTTTGACCGGCCTCCTCGCTCACGGTACAAACATGACATAACAAGCAAAACCACATTTGCTACAGTGAACAAAGTACTAACTAAGAACAACACAACTCCGCTAAATAAACATTCAAAACACCTCAAAATAGAACAAACTAACTAAAAACATGACTACCCACAATGCACCTCGCCCACTACAGCTCCTGCAACTCTCTGCAGCCAATCGGACGCTACCAGTCCAACTTTTAGAATAAAAGGGTGGAGTCTACAAATTAACTCTGCGGGTGCTGTGGGAGTTCAGAGTTACATTTTCTGGAGTTATGTTGTCCAACATGACTCCTACAGTGTTGAATAGGAAACACTCCTTTTTAACACTGGGATTTAACTCTCATGTCAGTGTTACTTGACTGTTAGCTTCTTCTTCCGGCACTCGCAGAGTACAAACGCTTCTGCTTTGCTCCCTTATCTTTTTTCCCAAGGCTCTTTGTCCCATCTGCCTACAGAGCGCTTCTCTGCATTTCTTCTGGAAATCCCTATTTTTTAGAAATGGATTTAATTAATTGGTCATTCAACGCGATCAAGATTTTTTCTACGATGAGAACGGAGGAGGGGGCTCCCACTTGCCCGCAAGGGACACACGCAGCGGGATATGCGCTCGATTCCTGGAAGGTGTGGAGGATCGTATGCCTCTCCCAGCTGTCCATTGAGGACGTCGAAGATAAGTGGATATTTGGCCTGATGATCACTGGATTTCTTCTGATTGGAGTGGGAGGATATCTGGTTTTCTGGAAATTTGGGAAGACGGGAGCGATTGGAGGGCGACCCGCACCCACGGAAAGCACCGTCCGTGTGGAGACCTCACAGACTGGGACGTTACTCGAGGTGAATCGTAAGCTGGACAATGTCCTAGCTGCGTTACCGGTATTAGTGCGCAAAATGGATGTCATCTTGGAGAGGGTCACCGGACGGTGTGGAGATGTTTAAAACCTAAATTGGCTTCACTGGAGGACTTGAATGATCGGTTACAGACTGAAGGCAGAGAGGAAAATTATCTCTGCCTGACCCAAACAAAGTCTTGTTATCCGCCTGACGCCATGGCAGCCTTCAAGATGCCAACAACAACAACCCCCACGAAGGAAGGAATGCAGACAGATGCTGTGAAAACCCTTTTTTTCCCTCCTCCCGAATCCATTCCTCACGTTATCCTTTTCTCTCTCTATTAAGGTAGCGCGACTCGGTTGCGAATGACCACAGTCACCAATTCTTGTCATGTGTCTTGCCCAGTGTGTCTGATCTTTGAATTGTGTGTACTGAAACTCTAATTTCCCTTCCCTGGGACAAATAAAGCTTTTCATTTCATTCATTCATTTCATATCAACTATAGAACTCATTTTAGTGTTAAATGAACTATTCTTGGTGTTAAAATGGACCAACACCAGAAAATTAACACTTTAGGAATGTGCTGTGTATCGAATGTAAAAATGACTTTAGTGAAAGCTGCAGCTAATCCGAACAGGAACTCCAGCAGGAGCTGAACAAGTTGCATCTGGAAACTGAGAAGATCCTGCAGGAGATGCAGGATCAGTTCTACAGCCTGAGCCGCAAAACCACACAAACCATCGACATACGGATGGAGACGATGAGGAAGGTGAGAAGAAGTTCGCCGTGCTGCACATCTATCTTCAAACGGGTGCTGATTAGATGTTTGTTTCAGTTTAATGAGATGAAGAAGGTGGTGTTGGAGGACAGGAAGGAGCAGGAAAAGCAGCGTCAGCTGGAAGCAGAAGCCAGAGCTGCAACCACGGTAACAGCATCCACTCTCAGGAACGATTCATGAGCTTTAGCTGCACGTTTCTGTGTGACCTGGTCTGGTGTGTGCAGCTGCAGACCTGGTGGAGAAGCTGCATGATCCGCCGACGACTAGGAGCTTATAAAATATCAAAGGACAAGAAAGTCAAGAAGAAGAAAGGAAATGAAGAAAAGGGGAAAAAGAAGGCAGGAGATCAGAAGAAAGGAAAGAAGAAATGACTTGTTTTATTTTATTTGTTGCCTGTGGTTGTTGGCCTCGTATTTCAAACTTTATTTGTGTGTGTGTGTGGTGTGTGTGTGTGTGTGTGTGTGTGTGTGTGTGTGTGTGTGTGTGTGTGTGTGTGTGTGTGTGTGTGTGTGGGTGTGTGTGTGTGTGTGACCATTTAGCCTTGAGCATTGAGACAATCCCCAAACCAAACCCAGCGTGTCCCCACAGGTTATAAATAGAAAATAAAACACAGAAAAATAGATAAGTGAGAATAAACAAAAGCAGATGAGAAAATAAAAAAGATAAAAGTAATCCTACAAACAGGTGTTAATCCGTCTCAATCTGAAAAGTGACACTTACAGATATATGGTGCCCTTTGAGATCTCTTCATATAAAAAGCATTATAAATTAAATGTATTATTATTATTATTATCTACTGAGTCTAATTTTCTCACACTTCAGAAAATACAAAGCATCCTTAGGCCAATGACAGTGTGGGTGTGGGTGTGTGGGCTTCATTAGCCTTCTCTTCTGGCTAACAGGGTTGTGAATGGGGGGATGAGATTGGAAGAAAAAGTAGTAATAGGGACCACTCAACCCCAGATGGGACAAAATGTCAAAGATGTCGCGCCTAAACTTGTTTAAAGCAGGCCAACGTGTGTAGCCAGAGGGTCTTCAAGATGAAGGAATTGGAGGCAAATTGCAGACGGTGAGGTTGTTTTCCTTGGGAGCCAGTACGTTACCCAGGCTTTTATTCCATTGCTCTTTACAAGTCAGTGCAGAGGTTTTACCTGACGACGGCACAACACTTGACAGTTTCAGGCAGAAAATTTAAATTGTAACTATTCAATTCAAGTTTTCAATTCAAGTTTATTTATATAGCTAAAAATCACGACAAGAGTCGTCTCAAGGCACTTCACATAATAAACATTCCAATTCACAGTTCATTAAGCCAATCAGAAATAATGTTTCCTATATAAGGAACCCAGCAAATTGCATCAAGTCACTGACTAGTGTCAATGACTATACAGCAATCCTCATACTAAGCAAGCATGCAGCGACAGTGGAGAGGAAAACTCCCTTTTAACAGGAAGAAACCTCCAGAGAATCCTGGCTCAGTATAAGAAGCCATCCTCCACGACTCACTGGGGATGGAGAAGACAGAGCAGACACACACACACACACACACACACACACACACACACACACACACACACACACACACACACACACACACACACACACACACACACACACACACACACACACACACACACACACACACACACACACACACACACACACACACACACACACACACACACACACACACACACACACACACAAATGTGTCTATAGTTCTATTGTGATGTCCTAGTAAATGTAAACTAAAATGTACTAAAGTGCAAAACTATTGACTACACGTGTCTGCAGCACGATTAGACACGCCTTTATATAGTTTATCAGGAAAACAAGGTGATTTGGGGGTGACTTGCTCTTTAAATAGCATAAAAAATCACACCTGGGAACAATCAGCTCCACCAATCAAACCCAAAAGGAAATAAACATCCAAATAAAAGTACGGCCTAAATAACATAGGCATAAAGAAAAGACAAAACTATTTCTAAAGTAAAAATTAACATTTTAAAACTAATACTAAAGAAACAAATCCCACTTCATTGGGCTTGTCCAAATGAAGTAACCAATCAGAAGATGATCCAGAGAGGTAGTACTGGGTGGGGGTGGGGGGTGGACCCTCCTCTCACAACCTACTCTGGATACAAAGAAAAAAAAACATTCAGTTCAAAAAAGGAAATTACATCAATATACAATGAAAACCCATGACATCAAAACCAGTGCAATACCCACATTTTACTCTGGTTAAAATATCAAATAGAAAAGTACCTTCAGACTTTAGAAAAATGTATTAAAGGGACGAATGGGAAATCATTCATACCGCTTCGTCACACAAAGCCAGAACATGTGAAAGTAATCAGCTGACAGCGATCTCAAACTGATAATGTCCCAACAAATATTCTTGTGAGTCCAGCCTTAATCTTGGTTTATGCTTGATGCATTCACTTCCCGCTTGGTGATGCAGCTCGCGGATGGAACGCGCTTCACAACTCGCAGCGTTTATGGTTCCTGCGGCTCGTCTCTGCGGTGAGCCAATATTCTCCCAAACTGTAGGGGGCAGCATGGAGCTCTACAGCATGCATCCAACACTACACCATAGTAGAAGTAAAAATTACTGTTTACAACATGGCATTTCAGCATTTTTAACTGTGTCCTCGTCTTTTCCGACAGTGCGAGCTAATTCTCTCCAAGAATTATTAACAACATGTTGATCACGGTGATCTCTGAGAGCCAAATCATACAAATGTCTGTATTTACGAACCTCTGCCATACTAGTTCTTGCCAGTCCGCCATGTTTTTCCGCGTCCGACCGTCCGCGTGGTTAGAAATTTTCCTAGGTGCGCGTTGCGGAAATTTTGGGCTGTGCGGAGGCGCGGTGGAGGGGGGTGGTTGTTAAAATGACGTAATTTCGCCGTGCGGACCTCGCGTCGAGCATAAACCAACCTTAATGTGGTGGTTGTGACGAGGCTGAAGTTAGCTTCTGATTCCAGCTTCCGATTCGGGAAATGGCTAAAGGGCCATTACACCCAATTTTTCTCTACTCTGACCATCTTTAATCTGCTCTAGCTCAAAAACGACAACACCCGCACTCTTCAAACCTGTTCTAGATTATTCTGCTATAAGAGCAGATCAAATAAAACACAGTGTGGGATTTGTGAAACCTTTCCCTGATTTGTGAAACTTCAACAAAGCCTGATTTATGCGTTTTTTCCCAGCACAAATTCACAAATCTAAAATGCACTAAAGTGCAAAACTATTGACTACACATGTCTGCAGCACGATTAGAAACACATTTATATTGTTTATTAGAGAGAGAAAAAAAGTTGATTTGGGGGTAACTTGCTCTTTAACGAGAAGTTTTTTTCGTAACTTTTTGGAAATATATCTTTGTAAGTGGAACCAAAACAAAGTTACATGAAAACAATCACCAAAAACGTTCAAAAGGTTCTTCCTTACAACCACAAAAGTTCGTGTGTCAGAAACTGTTGGGAAACAAGTACAAATGTTCGCTTTTGACGGGTAATATCTATGTACCCCAGTTGATGGCGGTGATGCACCACAAACGTTGTTTACCAACCACCATTAAACAGGAAGAAGAAAAACGGAAGATGTCATTTTTGTTTTTAAACGTAACTTCCGCCTTCTTGCCGAGTGACATGCTGCACGTGTTTGACAAGTCATTTAGGAGTTTGGATGAGATTAAACCTTATTTTCGTGGCCTTGTGGGACTGAAGACATCATGCTACATCACTAATGGAGTGGTCCGAGTTGCTAAGCGAACGTCTTCGTGTTTCTGGCGGGAGAAACGAGGACTTTTAAATGCTAGTCAAGCTAGCAGCTAGCGGTAGCCGAGTCCACAGACATGCCCTGACATGTGCCTACAGGAAGACAGCGATTCATATTTAAACGGTTTATGGTTACATTAAATAATTAAGCACAAGTTTGATGGATTACCAGTTCCCTCAGCAGCTGTTCCCTTCGTTTTACAGCTGCGGACCACCGGATTTATCCCACAGGTATTGCGCTGAAGCCGGAGGATGGGGCTCATATCACGGAGTTTTACCTCAGGTAAGTCTACTGTGTGCTTTAACGGGGAACGTGTTCTTAGTTTATTAAGTTTATCGTAAATGTTCTTTAATTAAATTAACATTTGTTTGTGCCCCCCCCCCCCTTATAAATAATAACCCGAGTACACAAGGCAACGCTGGCGTATGTGTTCAGTAAAATAAGGGAATTATGTGTAATTTTGGCCAAAATGAAGGAAAATGCTTAAATAAAAGCGTTGAAACGAGCATTGATTTATTTTTTTTTATCGATACCAGGTTTTTGAGGTCCAGATTAGGACTGTGATCATCCGCGTTGCCTACTGGTTGAGGTTGTTGCACATGTGCAGTAAAAATGTGCAAAATCAGATGTGTTCTTTGTAGACCAATGTAGAGAAGTCGGTCCCTTTTATTTTTTAGATAATTTTAGGTCTTTTATTGTGACAGCCACCTGAACACTTGGAGCTCATCGCAGTGATTGTTGGGAACCTAAAACCAACCAGACCTCAGATAAAAAGGATATTGAATAAAACCTTTAAAGGGCAGTTTCATGCCTGATATTTCTTCTTTTGTTCACCAATTATCACTTTACTAAACCGTTCAAAAACACCAAGCACATAATTCACGGCCTATATCCAACAGAACCGGTCTGGCTGATTCGGTTCCGGTTCGGTCTCAGGTTACAACTCTAGCGCTCAGCCCTGCAGTACCACATTAAGGCGGAACCACTTGGTAAATGTGGAGGAGACTCACTCTGACAGGTTTGGATGCTGCGCTGGTGCCGCCGTTAAAAAAACAAAACTACATTCCTCTATAATCGATTATGGCGCACTCTTCTACGGTGCAGAATCGTTTATGTCCGCATCCCGATGCATCGATTATTTGATTATTTTCCTCCGCTCTAATCAGGATGAGACGACTCATTTCCACTTTGTTTTGTTTTCTGCTTCCTGTACAGCTCAGAGCTGCTGATGCTGATTCGTTTTAACAGACCTGGTGACATGTCTGATGTTGGTCCTGCTTCCTGTGTTTGGTGCTTTCACCAACAAAAAACACAAAAAGTTTCATGAGTTCACGATCAGAGGATCACAGATTACATTTAGGCTGGTTTTGATTGCCAGATGATTTTTGTACATCTATAAGAACAAAACTCCCTCTAATAAATTGTTCCTTTTAATTATTGTGAGCAATAAAAAAAACTGGTTGAAAGACAGAAAAAGGGGTCGTTATTTGTATTCATTTATTTTTGTATTTAACAAGAAAAAAAATCGAGATTAAAAAATCTAATGTGTGTACAAGACTGTCCTGGCAGGCAGCAGCTCAACCAGCCACGATGCTCAACACACTTACAGAAAACAGTTTCCTCATCAGAAAAGCACAAATACATTAAAATAATCAGCAGAGTCCATAACAGAAATCTTATACCACGGCATCCGGATGTCTGAATATCTAAAACGTTTAAACTCATTCACTGAGACCAGTTTGAATGGTATAATGTTTATGGTGCTGAAAATCCTCCAAAAGGCTTCAGTTGTCACAACTTGTGTTGTTTTAAATGGGTGAAAGGGTCCTTAAGGTAAGGCCAAACGATCAGGGCTAGTGTCTGCTTAGTAATGCTTTACTTAATACTAACATTGGTATTAAGCAGTTGTTAATTTAATAGTTTATTAATGCCGAATAATGCACCAAATAAAGTTAAAGGGACCCTTATTGTAAAGTGTTGCCTTTAAATGTTAGCTTAAATCATCATGTTTGAACTTCTTCCGGCTCTTGGAGGGTGCAGACGCTTTTTTCCTCCTCTCCTCCATATCTTATCTTCAAGGCCTTTGTCTGCCTGTGTGTGCTGGGTGCACGGCTGCTTCTGCATTTTTTCTGGAAACTGAAATTCACTAAAATGGATCTCGTCAGCTGGTCTCTCAACGCGGTTGATAACATTTTTTCAACGATGAGAACGGGAGAAGGGGCTCCCGGATGTCCCGCCGGGACAGACCAGCTGTCTGTGGAGGACTCTGAAGATGTGTGGATATTCGTGGTGTTGGTGTCGGGTTTCCTGCTGATCGGCATTGGAGGCTACCTGGCTTACCGGAAAATTAACGAGCTGTCGAGGAATATTGGCCTGATCCCAGAGCTCAGAGATGGTTTGCACCACGCTGTGAATTCACAGACTCACATAATTGTCGAGATGAATCACAAGCTTGGGACTTTGGTGGAGATTCATTCATTGGCACAAAAGATGGATGCCATCAAGGAGAGAGTGGACGAATCAGCACGGATTGGGATAGTTTAATGTCCATTATTGGGATTCTGAGAGGTTGAGGACCAACAAACTGTAAGACAGAGAGGAAATTATCTCTGTCTGGCCCCAAAACAATTTCTAATCGGAATCTGGTGCCCTTGAGCCTGCAAGGCTCCAACGAAAACTCCCCCCTCAGAAGATATGTGGAATGTGCCGTCGTTATGGCAACTCAACTCTGTCTCCTATCCCAGCCTGGGCGGGACTGCAGGAAGGCCGCTGAAACGTTCTAGGGTCACTGCAACCCTCCAACCCTCAATGCTCCTCCCCCTATCCACACTGAGGTGACATGCGCTGCTTATCGTGGCTGCAGGAACTGAAGTGGGGATAGTCCCAACCCACCACCCTACCTAGTGGACACTTATGTTGTGTTGTCTGAAGTCTGTTGCATATCTGTCTGAGGTGTTTTTTTGCAGAGCAAAGCTGCCCTCCTGGTGGAGGGTAACTCTGAAGTGCCTTTTTTTCCCTCCACCTGAACCAATCCTCATGTAACCCTCTTATCTCTATTAAGGTAGCGCGACTCGGGGTTGCGAATGACCACAGTCACCAATTCTTGTCATGTGTCTTGCGCATGTATGTTTGATCTCTGAATTGTGTGTACTGAAACTCTAATTTCCCTCTGGGATTAATAAAGTATCTTTGATTGATTGATTTGATTACTGTAGAGACACAAATGTAAAAACATTTGTATGAATGTGTTTGTCTGACTTTAAATGCTGTAAAACAGCAAAAATGCTTGAATTTGAAATGTAAAGGTGTAAGAGCCCCGTGGATCTCCAGTGATAATGTCTTTTCTGTATTTATATACCGTAAATCCTCTATTACAGGCCCGGGCCTGTATTTGACTCAAGCTCATCAAGCTCCAGGCCTTTATTGGAAGGAGGACCAGAATTAGAGGCAGGCCTCAATTTCTACTTGAGCAAAATGAACTAATGGTTCGCTGGAGTTTTTGACAATTAAAATTGCGCCCACATTTTCAAAGTTAACACATTTCTTTTAACAACGGTAGTTCCTGCTTCAGCCCTCTCCCCCCTCCCCCTGCTTCAGCCCTCTCCCCCCTCCCCCTGCGCAGCGGCCGCAAACTCACTGATGCGCCTGCAGCCTCTCGGAGTTCCTGCTGCTCTAAACATTAAAATAATTATTTCATTTTCTGTTCCTCACTTCTGATTACCTTCAATGGTGTCTGTTTGTTGCAACCAGCAGGTACAAAAACTAACTTGTTTTTATTTGACTATTTTTCTGTCCTGTCTCTGTTTATTATCTTCCTGCATCTCCTCTCAATCCTAAAAAACTGCTACCTGGGTTTAGGGCTGCTCAATTAATCGAATTTTAATCACGATTACGATCTGAGTTTTGAACGATTATAAAAAACAAAACAAGCCGATTATTTGTTCCTCCCACTTGCGCTGCCCTGAGTTGCAAATGAAGCGCTCCTCCCTGACAGCGTTGCCAACTTGGCGACTTTGACGCTATTTCTAACAGCTTCTCAGACCCCCTTCTTGACTTTTTAACTTAAAAATACCTAGCGAACACCTCAGAAACATCTCTGGGAACCCTTAGCTACTTTCTGGATAACTGTCGTCGACATTTCCTGCAGGTTAGCTAAACACTCCGCCTGCACTCCGGACCGTTCTTCAGGACATTAGGAAAGGGAATGATGTAGTGATGTGTCAGTCGCTATAGAAACGGCTCTCGGAGCCGGCTCCCTGTTGGATTAACCAGAGTGAGTGACACACACACCATACCTGCGGGCTCCTGAGCCGCTAAAAACAGCTAAATGTGCGCGTGCGGCGTGCTAAACATACGTGCAGCTTGCCCCGATTGCTGTGATACCGGGTTGGGGGGTGGGGGGTGCAGCTGTGGTTGGGACATTTATTACATTAACTGATGGACTTGTAAATAAATGGTTCATTAATAAGGTAGAAATAGATAGAAATAAGTTCCTCACGCTGATAACTAATAACTAATCTCTCTGAGGACGCGGTGCTAGTGCACTCTCCTACAGCACCTTGACACAACTTCAGTAAATGTTATGCAACATTTTGTGAACATCAATTTATTTGCATTTATTTGTTATAAATGCAACTGTAAAATTCTTACTGTCAGTATTTGCAAGATATTGGTATTTGGGTCTGTACTGGTTAGACTTACATGAGTTAAACCAAAGTCTATAGCCCTTGGGTCATAGACTATGAGCTATAAGTATATTGGTCTTTTTATACTGGGAATCAGGAGTTATTTTAGTGATCATCTTGTTTCTTATTTATTTTTGTCCTGATTGTGTCCTGAGCAATTTTATGACTGAATAAAAACAAATAAAATCAACATAAATAGAAAAATCGTCCTAAATAATCGTGATCTCAATTTCAGTCACAAAAATCGTGATTATTATTTTTGCCATAATCAAGCAGCCCTACCTGGGTTCATATATATTCACCTTATGAGTTACCTTTGAACTGCAGTTCTAAAAGATCTACCGACCGCTAAAACAGCAGAGTGCTTGCCGGCCACATCAGTGATCGGTGCGTCACCGAGGACAAAACAGGTGATGCGCCCCGATCCACAGCAGCGAAACGCATCAGGCACAAATAAAAGAATAAAAGACAGAAAACATAAAAGGAAATGAGCCGACATGAACGATCGTGTGTTAAATTAGTTTTTTAGGTGGCGACACCTGATTTGATAATGTTACTGTGGCCGTGCTCAGGACGCAGATGTCTGGAGCGCGTCAACAATCAGAGCTTTGCATGCGCATGCTGGTTAAGGTTAGGAGGGGGGTGAGGGGAAGGTTAAATTGCAAGAGGGTAAACGTCACAATTTGGTCAAATGTCTGTTTTACGGCGGGTGTCGGTACCGACGCTCTGGCACAGCGCGTTGCCCCCCCGAGTGCAGGAGCTCGTCACCTGCTGACAGCAGGCTGCTGTCTTTTCCGTGGACTGCATCTTGCCGGTCATTATCATGTGACAGCGACTAGTCGATGACAGGCATAACAAGTCACTAAAGAGCGGTGAAGTCGACTAGTTCATACAACCCCTACTGCTCCCCAGACTGTTCTGCAGCATAATCAGCACGTTCTCTTTGAACTTGATATCAAATTTTCACCTCCTCTTCGTCTCCGCACGGTTAAAGTTACCCTCGCGGTCTATCACTGGCAAATCAAAAGTGAGACGGATGACACAACCGCCCCCCGTACTTGCTTGTTACCACATTCCACCCGGCCACAATAAAAACCCGCCATTATTCACCTCCGCTGACTCCGACAACGGCCAAAATATGATACCCGGCAGTTAATTAAATACAGGCTAATATTAGAGGATTTACGGTACTTTAAAATGGCATTTTATTTTATTTAAGCCCAACAATTAGTGTTTTATCTTTGTAGACTGTTTGTTTTGTGATCCTGACTAATTAGGTTACTACATCTGTTAACGTACCTGCTCCACCACTTCTTAAGCTTAATGAGATGTAATAATTCCAGGGCCGCGGTCCTCCGTCCAGCTGGACATTTACACCCAAGCATCAGGTCAGCAGTGAGACGTGGACTCAGACGGAGCCTGCGGTGGTCCCTCTCCTGCCTCCTAGAAGAGGTAAGGCCCTGGCAGCTGATTCTGGTGTTTCACATCAATGTAGCCGGTGTTTATCCGGTATCGAGCGGTATTTTTGTGTTCGAGTACCAACGGATGGACGTTAAGAAAACATCTCTGTCAATGCGTGTGTGCGACTCCACACTTGAGCTGATGGAGAAGTACAAATTAGGCATTCGGGTCAAAAATCAGCCCCTTCAACAACGTTTATGAATGACAAAGCTTTTGTTTTGGTCTGAAACGATTCCTAAAGTACCTCGAATAATTCGAGTACAAGAAAGCTTCGAGTCAAATTCTCTGCCTCGAGGCTTCGTTTAATTCATGTTTAATTAATTCATGGCTTAGCAATCGCCCGGGGTCATGTTTCACCCGGACCGAAATAAGTGACGCACATGCCCACTGCGCTGAATGCACACGCGAGTAGCGAACATAACTTAACTTTCTCTTAAGCCATGGCGGACAACGTGGACCCCGGTGGAGTGCGAAAAAGACAGAAAAGGTCAAAGGTGTGGGACCATTTTTCACGTCGTCAGGCGGAAAACGTAGTCCAGTATAAAAACTGTAAAATGGATGTAGCCTACCACACCACCACATCCTCCATGCTGCAGCACCTGACCAGGAAACATCCACATGTAAATGTCCCTTCTACAAGCGGACTCGGAGGTCTGCTATATATTCTGCGGACACTGTGCGACTTTTCATTCATAGCTCTCAGTTTCAGCTCACACTGTGGTTCTGGTAGCAACACGTTGGACCTAAAATGTGCTAAAAATAGCAGTTTTTACACAACACGTCAGACTTTTTATTGTGTTGTTATTGACGTCTGTTGTCCATTGTTGTTGCTGCAGGAGGACACGGGTATTTATGAGAAGAAAACAAAACAAAGTAAATAAATGTTTTGTGATCAGTATAATTTGACATAACCACGGCAAACATGCTTTCGACAATCCTTGTTATTGTGTGAGAAAAAAAGTGTAGAAATTAAAACGGACATGTGTTAATAGGGAAACAGCTGGCGAGCCATGTTTGTGCATGCGCCGTGAGCGGTTCTGGTTCTGTTTGGGCCGCAGCCGCTCGCTGTGCTACTTCAACAGTTATCCTCCTAGTTGTTGTCTGGCTTGCTGGGCTAGCAGATTCTCACACGAGGGGAGAATCAGCTCAGGTTGTTTACTTATTTTTTGCACAGGCATTTGTTTACTGTGGAGTAAAGTTGAAGTGCTGAAGTTTTGAAAACTAATTTTGAATAAAACTTGAAGAATACCTGGCAATTGCTTGCTCATTTTAATAGGTCTTTCATATTTTATAACATGCTATTTGATATAATGGTTTACAAACACAAAAGGGTCATTTATTAGAGTACTCGATTAATCGATAGAATATTCAATAGAGTACTCGATTACAACAATATTCGATAGCTGCAGCCCTAGTTTTGTTGTAGTTTGTTACAGATCAGTAAATGCATTTGTTCTCCCGTAGAAGGAAACATGGTGTCGCCCAGACCTGCTTCCACGTATTTTAGACCTGATTTCTATGGTTATATGTTAGGAAGCCGCCAGTATTTTTCAACAGCTCTCTAACTAACTACGCCTGTGGCCCCATCGGGGCGTAGGCCGCCAATCAACAGCTGGGCATCTTTTCACTGATTTTCAACAACATTTTAGTGGATATTTCCAGAGATTACCAATAAAAACTACACATCGTCTCTCTTTCATTGCCTCGACAACATTTAAAGAGCAAGAGCTGCATGGTGGCGCAGTGGTTAGCACTGTTGCCTCGCAGCAAGAAGGTTGCAGGTTCGAAACTCGGCTGCGGCCTTTCTGCGTGGAGTTGCGTGTTCTCCCCATGCATGCGTGGGTTTCCTCCGGGTACTCCGGTTTCACCCACAGATCACAACATGCCCTATAGGTTATAAACTCGCTTTGGATAAAAGTGTCTGCTAAATAAATAAACATAAGTAACGCCTAAATTAATTTTTTTTTTGCTGATAACCTGTATAGGTGAGTGTCTAATGGTGCTGTTCACACGTGTAATCATTAGTGTGGCAGTTTAGTGCAACTTACTCTAAATTTAATATTTTTCTGCCCAAACCATAATTATATCTCCATCTTCAGGTTAAAACTGCTCCACATTCATGTAGAAGCAGCTGTGGCTGATGGCTGAGCTGAAAAACGTGACGTTGTCAGCAAAGTCCTACGTGGCTGCACCGCTCTGGTCTCCAGGTGAAGCAGCCGCAACTCCACCTGGCTCAGCCACTCACCTGCCGATATGACACGATAGCACTCGGGAACCGCTTGCCTTTTTGAAAAACAAAATGCCCTCCTCCCCTTTTCATCTAAGGATCGTGATTAACCGGAAATCCTCCAGAATGCTGCAGAATCTGTCTGCTTTTCTCCTGAGCGGTACATCTTGTGTGAGTGAAAGCTTTCGTGCACAACTTTCGTTAGCAGCTCGTTTTTAGATTGAGAAACTCCCGACAGCACACGCAGGGGGGTTGAGGGGGGTGCGATCTACCGCTGCCTCAGTGCCGCCCTCTCGGTCCGCCAGGAGACACCTCTTTCAGAAGCGTTTTCCTAACAGGAAGTGTGGATGAAATACGTCTCCACCCGTGCATTGACCCTCACTTTAAAGGGACTTTATGGACTTTTGAATTTTTATGCTCGCGATTGCCCCCTCAGGCCAAAAGCGTAACGGCAGCTTCAATAGTAGGCTCGTGCACGAGGCGCGCATGCTGTACGTGCACACTCCTTAACGAAAATAACAGCTGAGACAGTCCTGTGTGTGTGTGTGTGTGTGTGTGTGTGTGTGTGTGTGTGTGTGTGTGTGTGTGTGTGTGTGTGTGTGTGTGTGTGTGTGTGTGTGTGTGTGTGTGTGTGTGTGTGTGTGTGTGTGTGTGTGTGTGTGTGTGTGGCCCAGAGGACAGGAGAACGTGCAGCTAAATAATTAAATAATGTGGTTCTGTACCTTTCTCTTCAGCACAGCGACAAAGGTTTATGATGGGTCAGTCCTCCTGCATGCTCAGATCATTCCCTTCCCTTGCTTGAAAAATTGTTCCAAAATGAAAGTTGAACCCACATCTTTTTTATCTGTGAATTCAATGCCGTTCGGCGAGTCTCAAATAAAAATTTGGGCATCTCACTGTAAAAAATATATCATTAATGTAAAAAAGAAACTCTAAATAAACTATGTTCACATCCAGAATCAAACCCGGGTCTTCCACACGGGAGTCCGCCATTTTACTAGGCGAGCTAAAGCGCCAGTGGCATCTTTTGTATCTGTAACATTTATATCCTTGATGACAGCTGAAACAACGTCAAACCAAAGAACGGTTCGGAGTGAAAATGGCTATTTTGTTGGTAATTAGCAGGAAATATCTAGAAGAAAGTTCTACAGAAAGTAGCTAAGGGTCCTCAGAAATGTAGCTAGCTTTGTCACTAGGCGTTAGGAACAGCGACAAAGTGGCACTGCCTCTCTCTCTGCTGCTAAAGCTACGGATAGCAAATGCTAAGGGCGATGCCTGAGCGTGAACGCGCATGAAGCAGCCTGCTCGACCCGAGCATCTCTCTTTTTCTGTGATTTTACAGAAAAACAGGCAATCCCAGTAAAAATGCCAGGGCTCATTCTACAGGACCAGGGCATTGCAGGAGAACGTATGAAGAAGACATTTATTATTTCTATACATGTTTTGGCCGTCACACTTCCATAACGTCCCTTTAAGGGTTGAAACTTTAGATTTTCACTTTTTTCATTGAGTTCCTTTAAATTGTCTTGAATATGAATGTTTTTTGAAGGCAACATCCATTTTTTAGGTTTTAAATGTTTTAACTTTTTACAACCTTTCTTTATTTCCCTTTTTTCCAGCTTTCCCCAGAAACGGGACGCCTCCAGACCCTCTAGACTTCACAGAGCATGTGAGTAAACGCAAAAAAAGCGTCTCTGATTTAATGTTTTGGGTCATTTAGACATATTTGTTTGGGACACGCGGGAACTTTGGTGTATGACCCCGGAGGTTTTTCCTCTAGATGCAGAACTTCTACATGGATCACGGCCAGGACGCGTTTGGGTGCATGGGCGACATTCTGGGAGAACATTTCTACTTCAGATACAAACGGAATTCAAAAGAGGTGATTTTCAGCTCCCATTCTGGCTGTTTTGAATATTTAGTAGATAAAGCAAATGGAATGAAACACGAATAGATATTAAGATCAGGAGTCAGACTTCCTCCTGAACTAAAACAATTGACTTGTTGCAGAAGTATCGGCGAGGCTCCATCAGCATGTGGAAGGTGCAACGCTTTCTCAACATGATGAATCATCTAAAGTGAGTGGAGCTTTGTGACCAGAACACCTGGCTAAAGGATCCGTTTCAGCGCAAACCAAAGAAAGTCCGAGCTCAACGAGAGGTTTGTGTGTCTTATTTCAGCGTTGTGTTGTTGTTCCAGGTGTCTCCAGACCTATCAGTCCTCCTCTCTGAACTCGTACTGCTGCCTGATGTCAGACGTGATCCACGAAGTCCCTCCAGACCTTCTGGGCTCCCTGCTGTACGAGGAGCTGACGGAGCAGAGGGACCGCATGCTGTTCCCAGAGGGAGCCACCGGGGGCGCTCTGTCCTTCGTCCCATTCTCACACGACAGAGGCTGCCTACTTTATCCTGGAGGTCTGGGACAGAACCACCTCAGTATCCTTCAGATCGGGTCAAATGCTGCAGATCTTCAGACCTGCATGAAAACTCGCTGTGTGAATGGATTCACCGGATCAGGTTTTTAGGTCTGTGAGGTCCTAATCCAGAATAGCAAAGGGAATTCAAGAAGCCTGGGTCTCAGGAGGATAACGGTCCATGTATTGATAGATGTAATCCCAGATGTTCATCACTGATCTAAAATAGTGTCTTTTCCTTGAGGCTTGTTTTGTTGGAGTTGGATGCAGTTGATCAGATGTGCGTTTGATTTCAGCTCCTGGCCGTCCCAGAACAGCAGAACTGACAGAGACGGTTATTATCTGGGACAGCAGTAGCTCAGGAGGTAGAGCGGGTCGTCCAGCAGGGCCGCTCGATCACGGCAACAATTATAATCTCCATTATTGTGACTGAAAGTGAGATCTGGATTATTTAAGACAACTTGTCAACTAATGTTGATTTTATTTGTTTTTATTCAGTCATAAAATTGCTCGGGGCACAAATAGGACAAAAATAAATAAGAAAAGGAAAGAAACAAGATAATCACACAAATAACTCCTGATTCCTAGTATAAAACAGGCCAATGTACTCGCTCATAGTTTATGACTCAAAGGCTTGTTTTGACTCATTTAAGCCTAACCAGTACAGACCCAAACGCCCAACCGATAACCTGAGTGATAACAAGAGTTAAATAGTGGCTTTTATAACATTAATAAAAACCATATAAACATATATGTTTAGTGGCGGTCACAAAATGTTGCATAACATTTATTTAGTCGTGTCAAGGTGCTGTAGGAGCGTGCACTAGCAACGTGTCCTCAGATTATTTATTATTTATCAGCTTGAGGAACTTATTTCTATCTATTTCTACCTCATTTATTAAGTATTTATTTACAGGTCCCATCAGTTAATGTAATAATTGTCCCAACCACCGCTGCACCCCCCAAACCGGTCTCTCAGCAATCAGGGGCAAGCTGTGCATGTGTTTAGCGCGCCGCACGCGCACATTTAGCCGTTTTTAGCGGTTCAGGAGCCCGCAGGTACGGCGTGTGTTACTCACTCTGGTTAATCCAACAGGGAGCCGGCTCCGAGAGCCGTTTCTTTTGCGGCCGACACATCACTACATCATTCCCTTTCCTAATGTCCTGAAGGACGGTCCGGAGCGCAGGCGCCGGAGTGTTTTTCTAACCTGCAGGAAACGTCAACAGTTATCCATAAAGTAGAAAGGGTTATCAGAAATGTTTCTGGGGTGTTCGCTAGGTCCGTTTAAGATTTAAAAAGTCAAGAAGGGCGTCTGAAAAGCTGTTGGAAATGGCAACGAAGTCGCTAACTTGGAAACACCGTGGGAGAAGCGCTTGATTTGCAACTCAGGGCAGCGCAGGAGGGAGGAGCAAATAATCGGCTCATTTTGTTTTTATAATCGTTCAAAGCTCAGATCGTAATTGTGATTCAAATTGAATTACTTGAGCAGTCCTATTGTCCAGTA